AGTTTCATTCATGGTTTGGTCAAATAACTTATATACTGTAGTTTCTATTAAGATTTATATTGGATGGTGAAATAACATATTGTAATCATGAAATTGAGAGTTAAAATTTTGTGGGAAGCAATAAAAAAACTGAAACTACACTACTAGTTGTTATGAATTTTTCATTTTCACTCTATAAAGGACTGTAATTAAGTCGGTATGTGAACAAATTGTTGTATTTTACTTTTTTCCTCTGACCAAATAAATATTGTTAGTTTGAAGGCCTCTTGATTAAATTTTCATCCAAAAATTGCGAAAATGAGCAATTTGGGTCCACGTGGCTACGACAGTGGACAAGTAGTGAACCATGCTCAATTCTCTGCTGTCCACGTGACCATCACTACCTCGATAGGGATCATTCACAAATTGAAAAAAAAAATTAAAAAACGATAATAATAGTAATGACCTTAAGGAAAAAAGCAATTTTTAATACTAATTTAAATAGAATGCCTATAGCCCAAACATACGCTAATGTTTCTCCTAAATTATATGGTTTTCAGAGTTTATGGAAAGGAGTATTTCCAATACACAAGACAAAGTTAGCACAAAAATTCAACACTTACTATAATTCAATAATTTAAGATGAATTCACGAATGTTAACTTATAATACAAAGCAAAAAATAAATGATGACCCGGAATATGAGCTTTCTTACTGAAACTTGGCGTGAAAATTTGGCACATGCAAGTTTGAATGAAAGACACCAAACCTAAAAATAAAGCTTTTTAATACTCGTTCCGTCCCATAATTATTGTCCAGTTTAGATTTTCATTTTTAATTCAAATTGTACTAAAAGTGAATCAAACTGGACAATAATTTTGAGATAGAGGGAGTATTATTTTTTTAAAAGCATCAAACCCCACCATTTTATCAACATTATCGAATTAAGGACAAAATCACTATTTACCAAAAAAAACAACCTTATTCATTTGGATCCAGTATATGAATGTTGATTTATAAACAAGGCCTAGTGGAGATCGAGAGGGTGTGGATTAAAATGGCGGGCGTTGCTCGTGTTTTGGTGCTTTTGATGTCTAAGATTCCTCAACATTTGCGTAAAATGATGATTATAGTATGATTAAATGTGCATTAGTTTTCCTTAATTTTCTGGAACCCAACAAAAACAATTGAAGTGAAGGATCACCATATATTTATAAGTGTGCAACTTAATAGTACTTCCTCCATTTCAAATCGTAGATCATTTTATGTTTGAAAAAATATTTCAAAATGTAGATCGTTTTATGATTTTAAGGCAAATTAAAGACTAACTTTCTAACTTTTCCCCAATAAATGATGCTAACCACTTTTCATCTAATTTTAGTTATAGTTCCGAAACTATTAATGAAGGGCAAAATAAATATTTAACACATAAATTAATCATTAAATGATCGTCTCCTTAATTTACGTGTAGAGGCTAAAAAGACTTACAATGGAAGGAGTAGTAGTAGCAGTTTTCCAAACCTCAAATTTCTCAAATTAATTCGCGTCCCGGTTTTCACGTCCCTCCCAATGTGCCCCTCTGCCTCATCGTCCCGAAATTATTATCCAGTGTAGATTTTAAATTTTAATATAAAATTAAATTAAAAGTGAAAATCGAAACTGTATAATAATTTTAGGACATAAGAAATACTACTCATTTACAAACGCAACATTAATTGAAATTTAAATCCTTATTTCATTAATACGAATAATATTTTACTACTTAGAAATCGGCCGATAGAGTATATATTAAGGAGGGAGATAGCAATTAATTTTTAAGTTGACTTTTTAAGATTTTTTTCCGCCAAAAATGAAGAGGATAAGGTCTTGTTTGGACAAGTCACTTTTTGTATTTTCGTCTCATTTAACCTCTTAAAACACTTCTCAAACACAAATTCCAATACTATCAAACAATTTTTTAATTTACATTTTATAATTTATTCCGAAAATTATTTTTACATAATTTTCGTCCACAACTACCGGACCACCTCCGCCGCCACCGATCGCCGCCAGACTACCCACCGCCGTCACCGGCCGACGACAGACCGGATTCCGGCCACCTCGCCAGAATTTGGCCTGAATCCGGTCAGTCAGTCGCCAGCCAGTGGCGGTCTGACGGCGGTGTTGGGTGGTCCGGCGGAGGCGCCGGTGGTGGAGGTGGTCCGTGGTTCTCTAAAAATAGTATTATTTTATTTAAAATATTATCCAAACAAAATTTTATCTCAAAATACATTTAAATTACATCTCAAAACTAAATAAAAAATAAAAACAAAAATAAAATGTTGGCCAAAGAGGCCCTTAAACTATACACTTAGACTGAGGTTGAGACGTGACTTCCATTCATTTTAATCCACTCTGCAGGATTGCGTAATAAATTACCAAGATATGATTCTACAATGAGGAATTTAAAAAACCAAAAATCAGAAAGAGAGAGGAATGGGGTTTTTAATCTAATTATCTTCTTGGAGAATGTTGAATTGAGTTCTAAAAAGAGGGATTTGATTGATTATTCTGTTTGGAGTTTGGACCATTACACATGAAGTGATCAGTTCATGCACCATTTTTAGCCTTTTAGGATTCAGATTGTTTTGATTCCCCGGCAGTTGACTATAACATTATTGGCACACACCTTTATATATATAACGTTGGAGGAGAGGATCATTTTTATTCTTCTTGTACTCCTCTGCTACCCACCATCCCTAATTTCAGAGTGCTCTGAATCCCTGATGCTACGTACGTTTTCAACCATTCCGATGTTAGTTATTCATTGTATTGAATTAAAACAATTAATGTAACAAAATGAATTATTAAATAATTAGGACGAAAGAAGTATATGCTGTTAGTTGGTTCTTCCCCTGTTTTCTTTGTTTTAGACACGAATTATTATTGCAGTTTTACATGGCCACTAGCGAACTGTTGATTTAGTCCGTTGTTGAATGGGAATAATTTAATGGGACAACCAGAAGATGGAATAATTACGGCAAAAGTAGGCATTTTATAATGTACGTACTTTTTTAGATGCATGAATTGTGCAGTTACATTTCACATATATTATGTGGTTTATGTCGCGAATTGTTGAAACTATTGCTACTCACTTAGAACTTCAGATGTCTCGAAATGATGAATTGGGTTGTTTTAATTTTGTTGTGATAACACATTGGTCATTCTGAACATTATTATTGCACGATCATGCCTTACAATTAAATGGGTGTATTCCGTAGATAGAAAACCCCGACTACATCATGATGAAGTCAAGGTTTAACTCACACCGGAGACCCTTCAAGTCATTGTACTCCATTGGGACCTAACCCACATAATTAGCAACAATTTGCTTCACGAAACTCATGACAAAGCTCCACCACCCCATCCCGCTCCAAAAGCTGTCTAACGCCTGCAACAAGACCTGTATTAAAAAATTATGATAACTAATTCAATTTGGTAGCCTCTATACGATTGTAAACTTTTATGATCATATTACTTGCGACAAAAGTACAACCTTCAATTGCATTTGTTACGAAATTTTCGAAACTGGTATTCATTACACACACCTGGAAAACAAAAATCCGAGACTATGTACTTTCCTGGGGGCAAAAAGAGATGGGAAACTAGATTTTAGAAATGCATCGACTGGGAAACTGAAAAGTATCATCGGCTCGATGGTGAGATTCTCTTCGAGCCCAACAATCCAGTCAGGCTTTATAAAGGTCTTCCAATCTTTCTAACTTTCTTAAAGCTGGCTTTTCAAACACAAAGAGATGGACTTCCATAGTTTCAGGAAATGCACAAGGTTTTACTTGGATGGGCCTGAACTCTAGCATATATATCCAGATTACAGAGACAACTCTCTCTTTAGTCATTTGGAGGTTAGGCCCTGATTCCATTAGAGACCAAATATTTGGGCTTGGAGTTGCCATTGCCCACAAGACGCCTATAAGAACTTTATTTGATTCGGCTTTTGCTGTTTTACTGTTTTGTAATAGTTACACAAATGCAATAAAAATGAACTATTTTTTTAGAAAACAAATAGAATATTATACAATTGAACGGCATAATTGGGATGCTTGACATTTTCTTGTAGTAATGTTGTTACTTCTGGTTATAGTTCTGATCTTTTTTTACAACAACTCCGTATAAGGGACAATCTTAAGAGATAGGGTTCACCTACCAAACCAGCATATGAATACCTAAACTATAGATAAGGAATTGGATATCAATTTTTTTTTTTTTTTTACACTTAAATTCCTTTGATAGCTCTTTGTCTGAGTGAGGTTTATAGAGAGCAAAAACGTTTCATGAAGATTTTATATATACAAGTCTCTTGCTCCAACATTTGATGTTCTCGACAAAGTCATTTGCATTGCATTGTTCAGTGATTGTAATATATTTTTATAGTTCATTTTTCAACGATAATGATCAAACCTATTACTCCATCCGTCTCATAATTATTATCCAATTTGAATTTTTATTTTTAATTCAAATTGTATTAAATGTGAAATCTCAAACCAGATAATAATTTTGGGACAGAGGGAATATATGATGAGACTTCTAGAATTCAAATAGCCAAATAGGTGGTTAACTAGCCAATCATTATTCTTGAGGAAGAGAGTTCAGATATCAAAAATTTTCCCTCTCCATAAAATTGTTCTGTCCCATAATTCTACTCTCGCAATGAGGACAGAACAATTTCATGAGTTCGGATATCCCCTTCTCCTTATTGCATGTTTCATTTCATGCCGTTACGTTACCTTGAATATACACCTTTGTATGGGTATTGATGGAATATTTCGGTTTTTTTTTTGGTGTTTAATTAGTTAAAATTTGATATATTGAAGTAGTTTACTTTGTTAAATTATAAGTGTTTTTAATGAGAGAAAAAATACGCATTTTATGGTACTCCTCGTATGTTCAGTTTGAAATTTACTTTCAGTACAATTTATATTAAAAAAATAAAAATTCAAATTGAATAATAATTTTGAGACGGAGAGAATATAAAAATAAAAAATAAAAAAGTATCAAGATAATGATGAAATCTTAAAAGTCTAATGTAATAGCTGATGAGAAAGAAGATCCATTAACATACAGCAATACTACTATGATGCGCAGCAAACAACAAATAACATATGGCGGCATCAAATCTCTTCTTTCTTCTTTACCTTAATTAAACAGGATTTTCATCAACGCCACAAGAAAGCTAACCATCAATTGAAATGAAAAGGTAAATTCAATTAGGATGATCAGGAAATTAATTAATAATCTTCAAAACAACCAATGGCGTACTTTAGCCTGAACGGTTTTCTCCGTGATGGTATCCAAACTTGGTTTCCATCCTTTCCCCGATACACTCCTGCTCATCATCACAAACTCCGGCGCCACCCCCGCCACCGCCGGCTTTTCGTCCTCCGCTCCTAACATCTCACCAAACCGCCCTCCTTTACCCGCAGAACCCGTCTTGTTCCCGCCTCCGCCGCCGCCTACGGCGCCGCCGCTGACCATCCTCACAAGCAGAGGAAGAATCCCCTCGAAACTACAACCCAACGACGGCGAAGACATAATAAGCGTCTCGGCCTTCATCAGAATCCTCCGGGCATCGTCGGCGGATAACGCCGGCGTCGGTTTGTTGTTGGCGCCGGATCTCTTGACTGGAACCATGAAATACACCTTGTTCATCTCCAGCTTCTTATCGGCCGGCAACGGAGACGGCCGCTTCGGCGGCGGAGGCTGAACCCCGTCCTTTCTCCTCCGATCAATTGTAGTACTCATATTTGGCGGGAATTCAATCACCATGTGTTGCGGGTACTCCAACATGAGCTCCGCCACTGTTAGCGGTTCGTGGTACTCGTGAACGGAGCCGTCGGAGAGTATGACTTTGCCGGAATGAAGCCGCCGTGGGCGGTGGGGAACGGCGGTTGCATTTCCCATCAATGGAAGCTTTGCGGGGAAGGAGTGAATTGTTATTATTTATCAAATTAAAATCTTGGTTTGGGGGGTTTTTGAACTGACTTTGATCATAGGTTATGGGGCTTTTTTATATTACGGTTGTAATAGTGACATTTATAATTCAACAATAGTATTTAATTTGGATGAAAAAAAAAAAGAGAGGAAAAGTTTGTTAAACCGCTCCATCTCAACTCGTGAGTTTTAGGTGTAAATGGTGGACTTGGTGGAATTACCACTAACAAGTAAAAAAAAGAAAAAAAGTAACCCTCACATTAATTAAGGCCAAAATCTAAATGATAAAATTTATTACTCTCTCTGTCCTAAAATTATTGTTCAGTTTGAGATTTCGCTTTTAGTACTGTACAATTTGTACTAAAAATAAAAATCCAAACTGGACAATAATTATGAGACGGAGGGAGTTTTATTTATTTATTTTACTTGGATATTCAAGTTTTGATTTAGTCCCTCATCATAATCTTTATTGTTGGTTTTGATTCACATTTAAATGTTAGCTGGAGTGTAACAAAAAGATCCAATCCTAACAAAATCAACATTTGAAATTTTTTATTTTATTTTTTTTCTAGGTTACCAGAGATTTCAAAACAAGGTAAATTGATGTATAGTTATCGCAGTAATATTAGATGGACCCAAAAAAAGTTGTCTTTCGATGATTATAACATAATCTAACACAAATTTGTTATTGTCACATGATGAAAGTCATTAAACCAAACTGTTATCAAAATTGGGAACTTATAATTCACGGATTGAACACTTTTCTTTCCAGATTTAATTACAGGAGCCAAAGACATTTTGAAATCAAAATTGTCGATTATGCTTCGGAATCACATTGACACTAACATGACACGTGTCATGTTAAAATACATGTCAATGGAATTGGTTTGAATGTGAAGATTTTCTACTTTTTTTTTCTTAAGAAACAATAAAAAAATAAAAAAAATTGCGTGAGATGTAGGTACTTGCAAACTAAAGATCAGCGAAGGAATATCAAAGATGATCCAAGAAACAGAGTGTTGAATAATGAAGTACGAACACGATCAAAAGATGCATATAAAATGTATGAACTTTTGATACAAAACGAATACTCCCTCCGTATCATAATTATTGTCCAGTTTAAGTTTTTATTTTTAGTTCAAATTGTACTAAAAGTGAAATTTCAGACTGGATAATAATTATGCGTGAATTTTGCATTCATTCATATTTAGATTTTTACCTCTCAAAAGGAACTTATACGACTTAAATATATATATATATATATATATATTTTAAATAAAACATTTTGGATGGACGAATTACGGGTTCAGAATTAAGAGGTCAAAATCAAATTATTTTTACACTTAAAAATGTATTCAGATTTAGACGATCGAGTGAAAGAATACTGCAGTCGTATGAAAAGAAATTAATTATGACCCTATAGTTTATATTCTTTTCAACGTTTATTATTATAGTTATTGTTTTAAGATTTTGTTTAAACGAAGTTTGTCGGAACTGCTGCTGATCATGTCAAATCCGGTGGGTAGTGTAACACGACGTTTATAAAAAACACAGAGGAAATACGGGTCGTGTAGACTGTAGAGTTGACGTTTGAAATTTAGGTTTTTGTACAATTTATATCACCCAAGTTCAAAAAAAATCAGTGTCAAGTTTATTTCATGGATACTTCCTCCTCCGTCCAAAAATAATATTGTATCAAAATCAATTAACAAACATTACAATCGTTTTAAATCAAAGAAAACCCACAACAATAACTTTTTTTATTATTGATTACACCTTTAGAATTTGATGACTTATTATTAAACGATATATTGCTTTCTCATGCTATCTGTTAGTATCAACAACGCGTTAATATTCGAACTCCTTTTTTCTCAAAATAATTATTCTGTTGGTAGTAGTATTAATATTGAAACAAAGTCCGAAGGGATTTTTTTTCTTTCTTTTTTTCCTTTAAAAAAAAAAGATAAAGAAACTCGAAAGGAAGAAGATTCATATTATGGAGGCAGTGAGTAGTCCACCGAGTCATACCAAACCACCAAGTTCTCCAGGTATTTGGATTGGATTATGAAGTCAATGTGAGGAAGGGACAGTTGAACTGCATTCTTTCCGTTTTGCGTATTTTAATCATGCCCAGCGTTTGTCAATTTATGTTAAAACTTAATATTTTATTTCCACTGTTTCTTATCCCTGCAACGCAATATTTTTGTGACTTTTAAAGTCTTGGTTTTTTCTTTGTAAAAAAATAAAAGAACATAATGCCTTTTTCAGTTTTTAAAGTTTTCACTTTTACCGTTTTACCTAATTTATGAAAACGAAAATTTTTTGTGCTGTCTAGATCTCACAAGTCACAAGTCACAAGTAACAAAAATGTCCCTTCAGATGGTTAGACTACAAATATGCAATAAAAACAGCTGGAAAATGACGCAAATGGAATTTGGTTGTTCAGAGTTATTTTACCCACAACCGAGTAACCAACTGCCATGCTCAATGCAGATATGGTTTTTCTTATCTACCAATTTTGTCAATCTGGGAATGTTTTAGACATTCTTTTGCAGGTTCCAAGTCCGAGGATGAGAAAATGAAAGACCATACGAAAATTTATGTAGTGAATAGACCTTGCCAAAAAGGGTGAGAAAATGAAGCAGATTTGTGAATGATAATTTGTGAACAATGATGTTTGATCAAAGATCCCAGAATATTCATTTTACACACCTAGTCACATCGACACAAGCTTCCCGAATGTGTCTGATTTCCCTGCAATAGTAGTGCTGTATGCGTATTAAACAGACATAATAAGATACAGGCGTGGGCATGATTTCATGTAGCTGGTTAGCAGGTGCACATTCGTGTTTTCCAACAAAACTATGAGTTCATGCGGCTGTGAGCAAGGCAGAATGAAAATTTGGATGCCAGATGCAGAATGAAGTTTTTATAATGACAACAGAATTCCTGAAAATTGGCTGTGTGACCTAAATTCTAAAGATTACCATCTACCAGATACTCCCGCTGTGCCAAGAAGAAGAAACTCAGAAACAACTTACCACATTGTCACAAGCAAAGGCACATGGATCTTCGGGTCAGTGAACCAAATCCCATTTGACACCGAGAAGGGAAGAAGAAGTAAGCAGCCAAAAACACCATGCCAGGCAGAATCATAACACAAGACTGGCAAAGCAAGATCATGATTGTACCACAATGTGAAATCATAAGCAAAATAAAAAAACACTATGCCAATGGTATTATTTCTACAAAGCAAGGCAGCCCACAAAAAACTAGGAAGACTCTGTCCTAAGAATAAGTATCATTTCTACCACAATAATAGTAGATTTCGGCAGCAGGAAAAAATTTTGTGACAGATGTAAATGTCGCTGCAGTCCCGGCTACCAGTAGATTTTACAAGGTGGGTGTAATAATTGACGATTTGAATAATAATCATAATTCTCATAACACACAAAAAGCAGAGAAAAACATGAATCGTACAAATCTAAAACCCAAACTAAGAGAGTCGTGATAAATTGGAGGATAGTGAACGAATCAATCGTTTCAGAAAGGCCCTTTGGTAGCCATTACTTTATGTATTGAGATACCCACTTGAACCCATCTCCGTATCCCATTTTGCGCACGATACTGCACATGAACACTTCTATAGGACGGACATTGGAATCTGCAAGATTCACCTTCCCTTTGCCAGTGGTAACACCTGTTAGACCAAGGTGATAGCGCAGCTCGTCTTCTGAGGCAGCATAAGGGATGTCAATCTTGTTACCCAGAATGAGGAAAGGAACATTAGCAAGAGCCTCATCAGATAAGAGAGCATCTAATTCCTTCTTTGATTCAGCAAAGCGCTCTTTGTCATAGGAATCCACCAAGTACACCACAGCATCAACCTACAAACGAGAACAAAAAATGGGGGAAAAAGTCATAAACAAACAGCATGTCACCGGTGGATAGGAAAGAACAAAAGTATTATAAAATTATTGTAATAAGACACCTCAACTTGGCGAGGAAAATCATAATAGTGCCGACAACTAACGGTTAAGATCACACATTCGAGAAAATTCAACTAAAGAACTCTTTCCATTAGGCATGTAACTTATAAAAGAAGAAACAACGAAAATTTTGAAACAGAAAGTAATAAGAGAATCTTTGTTCTATCTCATTCCTTCTCTAATTCATTCATTAATGAAAGTGCTGCCTGCTGCAAGAAAACAAATCGGGAAACAAGGATTTGCAACCAGTAGCTCAGGAAGATAATAAAACAGATATCACATTACAGAGAGAGTAAAATCAATCAAATCTCCTACTTAAGGAGGGAGGAGGTTGTTTGGGGTGGGGGGGCGTTGATAAAGATGAAGTAATGGCATTTCTTCCAAACAGAAGGGCCACTAAGTCCATGGATTTGGCAAAACAATATGATTATGAATAGCTACCATGCGATAATGAGAACTATGAACTGGTTTACGCAAGACTTGATCTTCAGAGTTTTAGGTCAAAAACAAAAAGTAACCACAGAGTCCTTCCGAGTTGCAACACCACCATCATAACCAGCATCAGATTTCATAAATCAATCATCAAATTTACTCTATATGAGCAAGACAATCAGGAACATGACAGCAAAAACACCAACTTATAACCTAAAATGGGGTCAGCCATTAACAAAAAACTTACCATTCTGTTCTGCCAAATCAACGCACAAAGTTTTGTTTCAAACACTTCTAGTTCAAGTATATTAAATGGTCTCTCCTTTTCTTCTATTTTTAAACATACCATACAAGTCTAAACCAATGCCACAAAAAAGAAATGGACAGACAAGAGAGTGCTAAGGAAAGTACGTGATCCATCTCACAACACCTATCAGAATCCTTCTCCTCTATTACCAGTACCCTTTGGCACAGCAGAGAAATATAAGCAATAATAACAGAATAACTAGCCTTGTATAAACATTGCAGGCATATTTTTTTTTATGCTAGACAATCCAATTATGCAACAGCGAATCACCAGATCAGGCATTTCAAGCAGCAGATGTGATAATCAAACCACACTTACATCTCGACAAGAACAGAAACGCAGTATGAACTGTTGGAAAAACACATATACTGTGTGTGGATTATCCCATCCCACAAAAATCTCTTCCATTTCCAATTTCACGTTTATATCCAACAAATTCCAATCTAAAATTGCAAGTAACAGCTTACAACATTAATTAAAAAACACTGATAATATCGCCACAAATGTCGTTGTAAACTTTTCAATCATAATTTCCAGGACAAGAAAAATGGACCATACAAATCTGATCTGATTATTCAAATTTTACCTTGGCATAGTAATCCTTCCAGACGCGGCGAGCGATCTGGTGGCCACCCAAATCAAAAGCTTTGAACTTGATTTTCCCAATGCTCAGCTCCTCCGACGTCGGGTACTGGGTCGGCTGATGCTGCACCAGTCTCTGCTCACACAAAATTAATCAAACAAATCAGGGCAAAACCCACAAATCAAGAGATGATTTTAAAGGAGAAAAAAGGAAAAAAGAAAAAAAAAACAAACAAACCTCGTCCTTGAGCATGTGCAGAAGGGTGGTCTTTCCGGCGTTATCGAGGCCGAGAAACAAGATCTTGGCCTCTTTCTGCCACAAACCCAAGGAGGCTAACACCCCGTAGAACCAATCTAGAAGAAACATGTTGGGGTTGTTTTTTAGGATCTGGGTCGGGTCAGATTGGGGATGGAGGAGCTCCTTCTTTCCCTAGGGCTATGATGCTCTGTTCAAAACAACGGAGCCAAAAAATTTGGGGGAAATGATTGAAAGGTTTTTGTGTTGGAGTTTGTCTCTTCTTCTTTTATTTGTTCTTTCTTCCACTGTGACACACACACAGTCACACACACAGAGAGAAGAGAGGAGAAGAGAGGAGAGGAGAGACAAGAGATGAGAGAATGGGGAAAAAATTTTGGGGGGCAGTGGGGTCCACTCTGTGTGAGTAATGGGCTGAGGTTGGTTGGTGAAATTACATTCCAGTCCAATTTGTTCAGCTCACAAATCTCACCTAATTTCAGTCTCATTATTAAAATTATCAAGACTATTATATTGGTAAAAATGGTAATGAAAATTAGGTTAAGGTTTCCATTTTATTAGGATTAGAAACAACTAAATAATTGAAATTCTTCAAAGATATTGATATCTTATGATTTTTGTTTTATCTTTCAAGTGTCATTTGTGTTTGATTTTTATAAAATTATGCGGTATATGAAAATCATATTCTTACTTCGAATGTCCTATTAAGTAGCATAATAGCATATATTTAAAATGTGAAAAAATTCTAAAACTAATGTAAAAATAATGAACTCGATAATGAATTAATAAAATAACTTTTTAAAGGGAATGTGTTTGTGCACTATACGAGAGAATTGGTGACTTTAGAATTTCATGCATGATAAAATTAGTAATTAAATTTATTAAAACTATAGAATACTGCTTGTTTTGTCCCAACAAACAGTCCAAAACTCAGGCTAATTTTTATCATAGAAATATATTGGATATTTTTAATTTCAAAAAAATAACTAAATTATTCATCTATTTTCCTAAGATTTCTTACTTTATTTGCTTAAATAAATAGTTAAATACAATAGTGGGGAGGAGTGACGGTGACATATAATTATTAATAACAGTAATAAACAAAATAAAATAAATAGTGGACGGTTTGTAATCAATGCCAAAGAATTCCATGCTGTCCACGTGCTCCAACATGGCTACTGCCGCAGAACCAACCAAGTTTTTGCTGGTCATTGGGCTTTTAGGAGTTAGGCTCGTTTTGTATCTTTTGGGTTTTGTAAATGGATAATGGAGCAAAGGCTCCATGGTGATAGCCCATATCTGATGAGGCTGCTAAATGGAGTGTTGTCAGGCTTGGACCGAAGCTCGACTCGGCATGGCCAAAGGGTCGATCGAATCGGGGGTCGGCTCGGGACGATTCAGGGGTTGACTGGGATGATGTCATAATGATGTAATTATATATATATATTTTAATTGTTGGAGTCAAATTAATACTTGATAATTTCCAAATGGGTCTCAATATAATCAAATTGAACTCATGAGGTCGATTAGGATGATGTCAATATTACTAAATCTATAATATTTGAATCAAATTAATACTTGATAATTTTCAAATGGGTCTCAATATAATCAAATTGAACTCACGAGGTCGATTAGGATGATGTCAATATTACTAACTCTATAATATTTAGTTTAATTAATATATTTAAAATTAAAAGGACTTAACTTTATATCTCTCTTTGATTATATTAGTTGATATTGATTTTTTTAATGGTTAATTGTTATTCAGGTGAAGTAAATTAGTATACTAATAAAGTAATTAAGAAAAATAAAAATATTATTTAGAAAAAAATATTGAATTTGAATGGCAACTAATATACATATTAAGAAATAGTACTCCGAGATTAATTTTTTGTGACATATTAGAGTTATAACATAATTTTTTTATAAAATGATCGAAGTAAGTTTCTGTAGCGAAATTAAAAAAAAATCAAAATATTATATTTAAAAATTGAAATTGAATATGGGGACTTAAAATCAAATTAATACTTCAAAAAGTACAAAATATTAAAAGTTGTTGGGCAATTTTGAACAGAAGATAAAAAAAAAAATTGGCAATGAAGGACATTGGAACTTGAAGTCCATGGGAAATTGTGCAATTTGTAAGAAAAAATTAAACCCCGGGTCGATCCGGTTTTAGCCAATTCGCGGTTCGACCGGGGTTTTGACTGATTTTGACCGATCTTCTTTTTGCCGATTTTAAGACTTGCTCGGTTAGATTTAAGGGTTGGTTCTTGGTTTAACCAGTTCGACCGGCTGGTCCGAGCCGAGCATGACAACACTGGCTAAATGTTCACTATGTTACACACTTCGTGCACAGAGTAACAAAGGCCATTAGTTTGGTGGCATATGGCTCATGTGGCGAGACTCTATAGAAATTCAGCATAATAGTGGCAATGTATGCATGTCCAGGTCCATTTTCCAAATAATTCCTATTGTGTGTTAACCGCAGTTTATGTTAGCACGCAAGGGCTAATCAAGCAATCACTATGGGAAACTTTAGATGTCATTGCAGGTTCTGTAACAGCACCATAGATTGTTTTCGGCGACTTCAACGCATGTACAAACGACGCCGACAAAGTTGGAGGTAGGAGGTCTAGAGGATGCCATAGATTTCGGGAATGGATTGCAAGAAGAGAAATGATTGATTTAGGCTTCCAGGGATCTAGATTTACCTGGAAAGGGGGGGTAGTACATGAAAGGCTCGATCAAGCCTTGGTAAACGACAAATGGGAGGATTTTTTCTTTGAAACATTGGTCAAGCATTTACCACGAGCGGCATCGTATCACTCCTCTCTTCTCATCTGTTTCAAATTCAGGAATAGCTTGCGAACTGTCCGGAAAATTTTCAAGTATCTGATGGCATGGGACACGATAATTGGAGAGATTGGCTCCAAAACAACTGGAATCCGGACCTTGATTTTCCAAATGCTCTTTTGCAGCTCACGGAGCTTCTGGAAGATTGGAAATATAATATATTTGGTGATGTCAACAAAAGGAAGAACAAGTTACTTGCTCATCTGGGTGGCATACAATCTGCCTTAGCTACCAAGCGTTCTACGGGTTTATGCAAGCTGGAAAAACAGCTCCGAGAGGAATACGAAGCTACTGTCACTCAGGAAGAATTATTAAGAGCTCAAAATTCAAGAGCAATCTGGTTGGCTCAAAGTGACCGAAACTCAAAAAGGTTCCACATGTCTAACAAAAACGGCAAACAGAAACAGCAAGCTCTAGCTATCCAGCTTTATGATGGATCATGGTGTGCAGACCCTAGAATACTCATTGAGGAGGCCACAACCTTGTTCAAAAAGGTGTACACAGAACAAGTCACCCTTGGCAACAAGTACGCCATCCAGGGCCATTTCCCAGTCCTCCCACAACATACACGTTTATTTTTAGACAGGGATATTAATCGGGAAGAAGTCAAGGTGGTAGTATTTGAGATGAGCAAGTTTAAAACAGCAGGGCTCGATGGTTATAATGCTGGTTTTTTCAGCATAACTGGGATATTATAGGAGAGTCAGTCTTTAAATTTACTCAGAATGTATTCATCACAGGAGCTGTAGACTCACGGATAAAAAAAGCTCTAGGGGTATCGATTCCTAAGGTAAAGAACCCGGAAAGGTTTAAGAATTTCAGGCCAATAAGCCTCATCAATGTCTCGACGAAAATCATCTCTAAGATGGTTGCAAACAGATTGAGAAAAGTGATGTCAGTACTTGTGCACCTTACACAGTCTAGCTTTATACCGGGAAGGAGCATAGTCGATAACATCGTGATAGCACAAGAAGTAATCTACATGATGAGGGTAACCCGAGGCCAGAAAGAGTGGGTAGCAATCAAGATCTATTTGGTAAAGGCATTCGACAAAATTAATTGGAGCTTCCTGGAAGATACATTGCAGGATGCTGGGATTCCTCAGAAGTTACAAAAGATAATTTTGGGTTCGCTTCATTCGGGTTCGACTCAAATACTGTGGGAGGGCATGATAGGCGATGAATTTAAACCAAATTGTGGCGTAAGGTAGGGCGACCCCGTTTGTCCTTATCTGTTTGTCTTGGCAGTGGAGAGGCTTTCTCAAGCCATAAATATTGAAGTTAGAAATGGAAGATGGAAGCCGTTACTCTTTGGAAGAACCAAAATGCCGTTATCACATCTTCTATTTGCCGACGATCTAGTTCTGTGTGCTGAAGCCAGTGAAGAGCAAATGATGGGCATAGGCAATACCCTACAACAGTTTTGCACATCCTGGGGGCAGACTATAAATTTAGAAAAATCAGTGTTCTATGTCTCTCCAAACATAGCACTGGATCAAGCCGACCGTCTAAGCAATATTTGCGACATAAAAAGAGTCAATAGTTTGGAGAAATACTTGGGCACTCCGATCATCCACGGAAGGGTCAAGAAAGATCTCTACAATGATTGGGTGAAGAAAGCGCTCGAGATTAACGCAATGGAACCCAGGCGTGTATCGATGGCATGATGAATCACACTGTGTCAGTTGATTTTATCCTCCATACCTGGTACTTAATGCAATCCTCGGTACTCCCTACAGGAATATGTGATGACTTTCATAAACTGAACAGGAACTTTCTTTGGGGAAGTACGAATACAGAAAGAAAGATGCATCTAGTTAAATGGGACACAGTGTGTCAACCAAAGACCAGAGGCGGCTTGGATTCAGAAAAGCAAGAGAATTCAACATGGCACTTATCCTAAAGCTAGCATGGGGTCTGATCTCGAATGACAACTCTCTTTGGAAGGGTATTCTGGTCGCCAAATACGACGTCTCGACTGATGAACTGCCACTTGACATTTCAAGGTCAAAAGCGTCACGCTTGTGGAACCAAATTGCAAAGCTGTGGCTAGTATCTATTAAGGCCATCAGGTGGTTAGTCAACATTGGTGAAAGAGTAAACTTCTGGACAGACGAATGGGTCGGCATGGGGGTTCCTTTGATTAACGTTGCCACATGATGTGTCCCAGCTGACAAACTTCAACTAAAAAGTTGCTGATTTTCTTGATGCTACAGGTGAATGGAACTGGAACAGGTTAAACTCGTCCTTGCCACCTGATATTTTGGAAAGAATCAGAGCTGTACCTCCCCCGACAAGAACGACAGCCCCCGATCGGCCAGTATGGAAGTTCACTGATTCAGGGAGATTCTCCACAAACTCGGCATACAGTGCCCTGTCCGAAGAGAGTTGGGACGACGAAGGGAAGCACTGGAATCTGATCTGGAAGTTGAAGGGACTTGAAAAGGTCAAAAATTTTTTATGGCTGCTGCAGAGACAAGTTCTCCTCACCAATGTGGAGAGGAAGCGTAGACACATCTCGGATGACAGTAGCTGCCACCTCTGTGGAAAGGAGGAAACTCTCTTCCATGTTTTCAGAGACTGTTTCAAGAGTATGGAGCTTTGGAGAAGCATCAACCCTTTCTTAGGTTGGGCTTTCTGGTACACAATCGACTTTAACATCTGGATTACGTCTAACTTAAAGTCTTCTGTTTTGCAGGCAAATCATGCCTGGTCTCTGTGGTTTGCCATCGGCTGCTGGAAGCTCTGGAACTTCATGAACCGAGAAGTTTTTGTTGATGAAGTATTCTCACAAAGGTCGATCAAATTCACTGTTCAAGCTTTTGTCAATGAAGTGGCTTGCTCAAATTTTTGCACACGGTTTGAAAAGCCACCAAATCTCAATGCAACTGGAGACATGGATGCCGCCACTACCACACTGTGTGAAATTAAACCCGGATGGTGCTATAAAGGAGAACTCCAACAAATCAGCTGCTGGTGGTGTCATCCGAAATAACTAAGGTGATTGGATCATTGGGTATGCTGTGAATATAAGTATATGTAGCAGCCTGAAAGCCGAGTTCTGGGGCAGATACAATGGTCAACAAATTGCGTGGGACCTGGATTTTAGAATTATTATACTAGAATTAGACTCTTCGCAGACTGTTGAATCTATGTCTAAGGAGGATTTATCCTCTGTTAATAGTAGTGTTATTAACAGAATGAGGGAACTCCTCCACCTCAATTGGCATGTATCCATAGGTCACGTTCGTCGTCACCGAAACAAAGTGGCAGATGGACTAGCCAAATTTGGTTACCCACTGGGTAGACATATTTTGTCAACACCTCTAATTAGCACTAAGAATTTAGTTGTGGCGGATAAACATTCCGCCCCCTAATTATTAGGGTTTTTGTACCTAAGCCACTGGCTTCCCTTATATTTATATATATAAAAAAGGCCATTGGTTTAATGCATTACGAGGTATATTAATATTACCCTAATCACATTATATTCCAATCACGTTTCGAACCCTGATGATAAAGTATTAAGCTATTTTAGTGGACCCAGATATCGTGCTAATAAATTTCAAAAAAAAGAGAGAAAGATATCGTGTTAATAATGAAACTAGATAGTTTGGTACAGCATTAGTCTCTTCAAATACTTGTTTAATTTTATACTCTCCGATATCTCTTCAACATTTATCTATGATAATACTTGACATGGGATGTGGCATGAGATGTACTTGACAAGGCATTCTCTCTCATCTCTGATAATACTGGTTATTGCTCTAATAAAATATTTAAATTCGTATTGAAATAATTGTTTAGTTTTCATATTTTTTTTTAAAGTAAAACACATTTTGGGACATAAAAATAGTAAGCATTGTCAAAGGAGGTGTCTTAGACAATTTCTTTGTTGTCGACTTCAATATTTTAGACTTCAATTTCTTACGTTAGAGCTCGAAAATCATCATCACTAGCGTTTGCACTTTCTTTATCTTTTGGGTTGACGTTTTACACATTATTACTAAAAGTAATGATAGAGATAGTGACTAGTTATAGTGAAAAAGTATAGTGATTAATGAAAGATAAATACATCATCCTCACTAAATATGTGTACTTATTAATTAAAGGTAAAATTATAATTTTTAAGAAAAAATAAAATTTTAACGGGAAAGTAACAAAAAACTATGACAAAGAATACTCTTCTTTTCTTTTAGTTTTAACCCTTTTGCTGAATACTAATTCCGGGGAAAGAAGAAACAGGTCATAATGAAATTAAACATAATTTCATATATATGCAGAATCGCAGACTATATGGACTCAAAAATATCATATACAATGACTAAACTTTATATCTCTCATATTTGTCACATCCATCTATTATCTCACTATCTCGGCATGCTTGAGCTTTCCGTATCATGATGGTCATAATTCATAAATTCCTCATATCTGAGCTGCTCTTTTGGGACGTTTCACAACCACTGTTGGGCATCTAACATTCTTCGCACAATATTCACTTACGCTCCCCAAAATTGCCCTGAAAAAAAAATAAAAAAATCCAAAAGTAAGTACCGAAACTCAGCGACAACGAACTTTTACAATTAGATATTCTATCCGTCTCAAAATGATTCTATACTGAACAAAGAGAGTACTGATTGATTAAGCATAATAAAACATAGAATTCTCACCTCTTGAAGAAACCATAATCATGGCTTCCCATAACTAACATGTCTGCCCTGAGTTTATCTACAGCAAGGCATATCACATCCTTAGCCTCCCCTGTTCCTATTTTCTTCTCTACTTTTATCTGCATCCAAAAGGGAAAAAAAAAGAAAAAGAAAAAGCAGAACCTTTTCAATTTTACAGGACATATAAATACTTGAAGAAGTAATTAATTGAATAGATTGATGATTTCACTTATCAGCTGCTTACGTCAAAATCACGGCATATCATTTCAGCTTTGCACATCACCGAAGTTGCAAGATCTTTACTGTACTTTTCCATGGTTGCAATCTCGTTTCCACCCAAAAAATACCCTGGTTTTTTTTTTTTTTAATATGCATAAAAACAATTCAACACTTCAAAATGGATACGATAGAAAAGTAAGATCGTCTCCTCAGAGAAAAGAACGATTGATTGATTGAATATGTATGTATACTTACCGGGTGCATCTAAAGAAGAGTAAACAGGAGGAGGAGGTTTGACGTAGAGGAGAACAAGATTGATGTTTTCGTTTTCGTATTTGTTTTGATGGGAGAATTGGATGAGGTTATGGAGGCACCAAGAAAGAGCGTACATGCTCTCCTCGCTTTCATCCACAGCAACTACAATTCTCTTGTTCATCATCTTCTTTTCATCATCACTACTACTCTCTGTGTCCATTCTGCTTATCTACTTCTTTCCTTTCTTTTTTCTTTCTATGGAAAACTATGTTTTCTTTTTTTTTTTGTTTTTGTGTTTGTGAAGAATGAAGGTAGCTAGAGGCACCTTTTTATAGCCCAAAGAAGTAGAAGGAATAGAAAAAACAAAGGACAATGGAAATGAATTATTTGGGAGGTTAAAAAACAGACCAAAAAAAAAAAAAGGCATAACATTTTATTAGATATATTGCATTCTTGTAAATATAAGGCGTGTTTTAGTGATTTTGTTCTTTTATTATAATATTTTGTAAATAATAATTGAAAAAGTGCAAAATTCACCAAACCGGGTCATAGTCTGCTTTTGGATCTACTTATAAATACTTTTTTTTTTTTTTTTTTTTATAAAAAAGGTCATTGTATATATGCTGTTTTAGAAGTATTACTACTGATTAATTAGCAGCGGTATTCTGTTTTTCTTGTTTGCTGGTTTTGCCTAAATTCTTTGAGGGTGTTTCAAGTGTTTAGATTATTCTCCTTCTAAATTATTGACAGATAATAATAAAAAAATAAAAATAAAAGAGAGACGAAAACGACATATTGACTTTACTTGCTATTGCGGGCATTTTATTCGTTAATACAACAGTAACAGGAAAAAACAAGAAACTATGTACTAGTTGATTTGATCGACACAGCTAATTACTATCACTAATTTTGTTTCAGCTAAATTAATTATAATAATTTTTTCGGCAGCCTGATTGATTTATCATCACATTCATTGCATCTTTGAAAAAAAAAATTAAAATAAAGGAGTTGGTAATATATGCATATTTTTTTGGTGTAGTAGTATTTGCTGGTTTGATATTCTCTATGAGCAAACTAGAAAACGAGTGTCACTTATTGGTTCTATTCTAGTTGTAATTTGTTCTTAATAATAATACAGGTACCTTTTAAAAAAAAAAAAAAACTTGTGCTCACACAATGACATAATTTTTATAAAATTGGTTCAAACTTCCCAAATAATTATGTATGTTGTATTACTTTAAACAAATTAAAATGTCATTTTGGGATAATAGAATATCTTTTTTCTGGGTAAATATTACATTAGTGTTCACATCCAAACTACATTTTCATAAATACACTGTAGTATAGTTTGTAAGGGACTCTTAATGCATATTTGTGACGAAAAAATCATATGTTAATTTCTATTGAGGTCCTGAAATCCATTTTGGTGAGTGCCTTTCCTCTCTTCCAGACAAACCTATAGCTTAGGCAGATTAGGCAGGAATGATACAGGTTGCATGAACGTTTTAATTCATTGGGTAAATATTACACTTCAACTAAATAATTTTGATAATTTTTTTTTTTACTAAATTGCTAACAATTAGACAGGACTTTTCTGATGGTTATGATGTTAAGTCATATATAGAAAAGTCTTCCAAATTGAGCTGTTTTTTTGGCTTTCTTGCCAGATACAAAATATCTAGCAGTTTTGATCGGTGTAGGGTAAGCAAGGTCTTGAGTGAGTTTTTAGATATTTTTAAAATTTAATTGAAAAACAGTACTTGAATTTTTGGTGGGATTGCAAAATCTGCTTATTAAACTTTGAAATGTGTTTAACTACCCCTCTGAATTGCATAATTTTCTATCAATTAAGTCCATTTGATTCCTTATTACGACTACCTCAACAGTCCTTCGGGATGGATTGAGTATCGTTTAGTCACCTTGATTAGGAACATCAAAACAATAATTTTGTAAAAAAAATGATAATAAGAAGAGTGCATATGTCTACTCGTAATTGCAACATTTAGTATTTCACGTCTTGACGGAACAATTCTCGCAAAAACCATAAACTTAACTATCATTTAATTTTGTTGCAATTTATCAAGAATATGAAAATACAAAAATAGGTTCATAAAATTATATCTAGAAAATTCAAGAACCAACCAATGACAGATTACTTTGGAGGATTTGTACACTTGTTAGGGGGGTTTATCTTAAGTGTGTGTACATGGAGAGGCTGCCACATTGTTGTCAACAAAAGCGAACCCTATTCCTTTTTGAAGAGTTCCCAATAAGTTGGCAATTTATTCATTAAGTTATTGATGTTTATGTCCATTTTGTACCATTTGTTCCTCTCAAGTCAAGGTGTTCCCCATTCTATCCTCTCCAAGCAGTGGTCTTATTGCGACTTTTTTTTGGTCGCATTCATATGTTCTGTGATGACAAGAAACAAAGTGGAAAAAGTATAATCAACATTATTTGCATAAGGTCCCCAAAAGTTTTTCCATTCACAAATCACAACCAAAGCCTTAAAAAGTTCACCTAATGAGGTGGTGGGTTTTTGAGGGAGTTTTGTGTTGTTGTTTCTATTATAATTGGAAGAGATGCAGCAGAAAACAAAGTTGTTTCCCACCCATGCTTACTTAATATTTTTTTTTTCAAATAGTCCTTTTTTAGTAGAGTTTTTAATTTTAAAAAAAATTAATAAATTCGATCACCCAACTCATCACGCTGCAGAGATAAATAACACTTCTAATGTCGTATTGTAATGAAAGATTTTGTAGTCAAAGAGAAATCACGGTAAATCATGGAATCTCTTGTGGACCTTTGCGACTAATGTAACCAATAAACTATGGAATAATTTGTCTTTCGAAAAACATTTTCAACTTCAATTGTCCACTTTCAATATTAGATTTTAATTGTTTAGCGCATAGAATTTCTGTGGAAAGTCAAAACGTAATTTACGTATGTGAAAGACGCCCCAACCTTTAAGCCACCAAAAGAACATATTAACTAGACAGTGCAATAATACTCCACTTTCTCTATAATAAAATCATATATTCCCACCGTTTCATAAACATGATATACACTATAAATTATATTTAATTTATCTAAAAATATTGTCCTACTAAAAAAAAAAAAAATTCAGACGATACCATCATTTTTTAAACATAAAACATATCATTTTTAATACTCCCTCCGTCCCATAATTATTGTCCACTTTGCCTAAAAAATTTTGTCCCAAAATTATTGTCTAATTTGACTTTTTATGGATCAAGTTACACATTTGTCCTTAGTAAAAACATTATCCATAAAATCTTAGTGGTTAAACAATTACTTATGTAGGGGTATATCCGGTTGTTTAAGGTAAAATATAGTTAAGTTTGACTAAAAATAAAATCTTTCATTTTAGTAAAATTGGACAATAATTAGGGGACGGAGGGCGTATAATTTATAATTTACTATGAGAAATATTTTTGTGAATACTGAATAGTATACTAATCTTTAAAAAAAAAAAGAAAAAGAAAAGAAGAGAATAGTATACTAATGATAGTAGTGTGATTTGGGCTCGAAGGCTCTTATAAACCTGTGAGTCATGCAATCCATCAGCAGTTGTTTTTTGCCAATCCACAAAACAATTGTTGCAACATGCTATACTTTCAAAAACATTTCAAGCACCTGCTGAAGCTTTCTACAGCAATGGGGATCATTAAACCCAATTCATGTTCAAGAACGTTTTTACTACTTGCCATGTGTGCGGTTGTGGAGTGCTATTTCTTTCCCAGAAGCAAAATATATGATGTTCTACAACAACAATCATATCATACTAGGAAAAAAAGTAGAACAAAATTAACGAAAAAAATAATATATTTGATGGTCTCAAACATATAAATACAATCATTTTATAACTCTACTTTTTAGATTAAGTTTTAGAATAACTTAACAAAAATCGCAATCTTCATACAAGGTATATATAAATACAATTTTTATATAACGTACTATACTTATTAGAAGAACTTAGATATAGTTTTTAAAAGAATTCAATGGAAAATGAAATTCTTATAAGTTTTAAAAATACAATATAATAAAATTGGACTATTTTTCTCAAATAAGAAAAGTATTTATTTTCAACAGTAAAGTAAACAATAAGCAGTATACATATACATATTATAATTAAGAAAAAAACACACTCCATCCTTATGATATAGTAGAGCAAGATTGAAATTTTAAGGAACTACAAATCACCGGCAGCGGCAGCCGGAATCAGCTTGGTATCCAAAAGCTTCAAGATGCCATCACAAATCGTGGAAAATTCAGTCTCAGATTTTCGGTCGAACTCCCCAATAGCGTTGACGTGATCCGCGGGACTCCTCGTTCTGCTCAATAGACGATATGATCCTCCACGAAGCCGTACAGGCTCCGATCACGTTCTTGTACGCCACAGAAGAGGTTGCGTTCCTCGATGGAGAGCTCATCCCCTTCAACGGCGGAGGCGGAGACTTTTCTCTACGAATTTAACCATTTTCTCTTAAAGCTCGGCCTACTCGGCAAACCCTGGCCATGTAGACGTTCTTCTCTCGGGGTAAAGCCATTTGTTTCCTGATTTGAGAGAAATTGGAGAGTGCATTTGAGTTTGGTTGGTTTTTGAGTTGAGAGAAGGGAAGAGAAGTTAAAGAGGCCTTAAATAGGTTGGATATAGATCAATCTAAATTATGATATCGTCTTGTATTTTCAAGTACAAATGTAACTAATTCTATATCAAATAAAATCTTAATATATAATGAGGATTTAAGAATTTTATCTAATTTAGGAACTATGAACTCATTATATCTTTTACTTAAAAGTGTAAAAGTAAAATATTTTTACGGTATATTAAAAATATGACACGTGTCCCGTAGACTTTTTTTCAATTGAGCCAGAAGTCTCAATTCATCCCGAAATTCTCCTCTCTTAATATATTAAGACTAGATGTTAAACCCGCACGTTGTGCGGAGTAAATAAATTTTAAATTTATTTTTTTACTAAAAATATTTTTACAAAAAAAACAAACATAATGAACAATCTTAAATGTTTAATTTCGATGTTAATTGAGGAAACACTATGTGACATATTAAATAACTCATGTGGATCTAATACAAATATGTAGAATGCAAAAATAAAATTTATCAAGTAAAGGTAAAGGCAAAGTTGATCAGAATTTGGATAAAAGCGCGGCATTAGGATAAATAATTTTATTTATTATATATGTAATTTTGTTTTCTCTCTGATTTACTTTAGGATTAAGGTTAATTTATAGACATTGTTGTTTTATTCAATTAATTGTGTGTCTAAACGTTATTGGTCACCTTGTTTTAGAGTGATCCCAAATGCAAATTGGACTATTATGCTCAAAGGCAATCGATCATGGAAATATGTCATAGAGTAAAACTCTGTATATCCACCCTAATTATAAAATGTTATCAAAATTATTGTGTTAAAATTGGTTCCTAATTTTTCGTTTGTTTAAAAAAGTCATATTTTTAGGGATCTACTTAACTATTATCATATAAGATGAACCTAATTTAGTGTTTAATTTAACATAAAATTCAAGGGTATTAACACAATTTTCATAACTTATTTTTTTAAGAACACATGAAATAATTACACATAAGATTTTATCCTAGTTGTTATCTAAACATGAAACTTAGTTTCTCTCTCCGGTTTCTCTATTAGTAATATATATATATATCTTACTATATTAGAAACAAAAACCTCCCTTTCAAACACCTCATATGATTGCCACGTGGCATGTAGAAAGTACTAAATTGCCCTTTTGTCTAACCATAACTAAATTATTAAATTTCCATTTCCACTTTACGTGACACTTTTTTTTTATTTTATTTTTTCTTTATGTTTCATTCAACTATAGTGATTTTTTAAATTGAATTGATCAATTAGGTTTTTGTTACAAAGTGTCAACTTTGTTTTAAGCGTATACCCTTCGGATGAAGCTTATTACAAAACTATTAAAAATCTCCAAAACTAAGTATTGATTTGGCACGACCAATGGAGAACATCAATAAATCATCTTACTAATATTTAAATTTATTAGGATGCTTTTATATTTTATTTAACATTTACTTCAACACATTTATTCGATTAAAGCTATTTATATTTAATAAGTAACATTTATAAAACATTTCTAAAACATACATGGCGAAATACAATTTCTTTTTTTTTTTTGTGTGAAATACAAATATTTCTATGATCACACTTATAAAACATTTCTAAATCCTTCAAACATTTCTAAAATATATCGCTACAAATACAAAATTTTATTTTTTTTTCAAATATAAATATTTCTAAGATCTACAGATAGACTGGGCCAGGGTCGCGCATTGCGCGACCAGACATCACTAGTATATAATATAGATAGATAGATAGATTATTAACTTTTAATCTTATCGTCAAGCCAACAAGGTCGGCAATTAGGAGAAATCTGTACCACCTTAATATATACGAGTACAACATATAGTTTATGGGGATTTTATAATTTTAGGAAAAATTGATGAAAATTCGTGGGGGGCAAAATATTTAATTATTTATCTTTATTGTTATTAGTTTGATGTACTAAAAGAAGAAAACACTAAAATAGATTATCAAAATGAGATAAAGAGTGACAAATTAAAATGAAAATAATACTATCTTTGTCTTAAAATAATATTTCCATTTCAGAGAAGTCATAATGGTACAAGTATTAAAGAATTAGAAATGAGAGGACGGAGATATCAATCTAATAGAATGAGAGACATGGAAAAAAAAAAAAAAAAAAAAAACCTCATGACTAAAAACAAGAGTCATACTTAATCAAAAACACCTCAAGAGTCAAGACTATTCAATGTTATTATCACATTTCACCTCCTTTCACCTCTTGCGGCGGCTGTAGCTTCTCCTCCGCCCTGAGGTACGAATCTGAAAAATTGCCTTTCTTAATATTCAGACCTTTTGCCAATCTCACAAACCAGCCATGGTTTTGAATTTTCATGTTCCCAAACTGCAAGAAAGAAGAGTGATTTCGTTGTTTTCTTATCTCTTTGAAAGTATTATCTAGTTGATACCAAAATTTGGCTTTGGAAGAAAATTGTTTGAAATCTTTTTGCATCAATGGATTTGCTACGAAGAACATATTAGTACAACGAAGAATCACAAAATTCTAAACTATTTGGTGCAAACAATTTTGAAAAGTGAAGGTTTGTTGTTTATATCTTTTCGCTCATAATGAAATTTTGCATTATCTTTGTGATTTTTTCCCTAAGATTGATGTGTAATTCTCTTCCCCTCTCTCTCCGCCATCAAGTCACATTACATTGGATGGGTTCTCATCACAGTTGGTTCACATTAGATTGGATGTGTTCTCAACACAGTTGATTGGTGAAGTAGAGTAGATAGAATGGGTTCCCAATCTCCTATGTTTTTTTATCTGATTCTGAAAATTTCAACTGTCTTTGAATCTAGAATTTCAGCCAATTAGTCAAAAGGAAAATCCAAAACCATTAAAAAGTTCTTAACTAACGAACAAGATGAAAGATGAAATTCCATTATTGCAGCAGGGAAGACGATAATTAGTACTAGGAATTTGATGATGGGTAATTGTGTCATTTCATATTAAATTTGCACCGGATGCTAAAAGTTGTTTTGGCAGAATGATCTGCCAAATTTAATAGGCATACATATGTAGGTACTGTATAATATCAGTACGTTTGGTCTGTCCGAAATTTAATAATAATAGAGCATTATATCCCAACACGAGAAACGCGCGAACAGCGACCTTTATTTGCTAGTGCTTGGCTTTTTTGCTGCATTTCCATTTGAAAAAATACAATAAATTATTTTTTTGAGACGATTAAAATAAGTAACGTATCAAACCTTCCAAATGGTTAGTAAGAAAAAAGGTTTGAGAGAGGCAAGTAGAACACAGATGAAACCAGAAACCGGAATCTTTGGACTATAACCCGCTTCCTCTCCAACTAATTACCTGCCATTTCCAACTTCCAACCAGACATACAAACACTTTCCGGATTTTCCAATGTCATTATATACTCCAAATTTAACCCCAACTCCAAAATTAGTTTGAAACAAAAGATACTCCGTGTACATCTCTGGATTAATGAAAACAAAACCATCTCAGAGTTTTTAATGAACAAATAATTGTCGTGAATGAAGACACCTCAGAGTGTGTTAAAAGGATTACAATGAACAAGTAATTGTCGTGAGGTTTTGCTTTCAAATCGAATGAAGACACTTCAAAGTGCGTTAAAAGGATCACGAAACATAAAAAATCACTTACTAATGAAGGAATCGAGTCTGTGTGCTAGTGATTAAAACATTATATTTTTAACTACGAGATTAAAGATTCGATTCTTACCACTTATACGGAAAGCAAGTACCTAAAGGAGAAAACAGATAGTTTACCGATAAGAACAGTCAGTTTAAACAGGTAAGAAACCTGCAATTATCAACAAAGGAAGACCGAACATATAGTTCAAAATCAATAGACTTTACCCCGTTATAGTTTATGTATTTTTAAAATACCAATTGGTGCGGCTAAAATTTTTTTACTAATGAATGGGTAGTTGTTCTTTGTTGTGCATTAAATTCAATTCAAATTTATGGTACGATACAGTATTTAGCCGCTCTATTTGGAAAAAAGGTCGAACCATTTTTAAACAATTCATTCACTCTCTTTCTCTCTCCCTACCCAATCAATGATTATTTTCCATAAAACCCAATTATAAATTCCCACCACTGCATCAGTCTAGCAATTCCGGTCTCCCAAAAAACCCCCCACAAAAATAAAACGCTCCATCAAATCACCACCAAGACGGGCCGTCCGCCACCACCACCCGCCGGAGATGGCTCGAACGCCGAGGTGCTGTTCTTGTTCACCCAAGTGCTTACTAATCTTCTTCCTACTATCCGCCATCCCAATCGGGTACTTGATCCACCTCGAAACCACCAAACCGGCCGGCCACGTGTTCGAGTACTACAGCCCCGGTTGGATGAGGGAGTGTTCTAAGTGGGACCATCTCAACGGCCGTTTCGTCGTCTCTTTCTTCGACGGCGGCATGGGCGTCGTCCCGGTATCGTCGGATTCCGACAAGAAGTTGGAGGAAATCACGGTGGTGAAGGAGGCGGACTTGGCCGGAAACGCTTCGCTCGGGTTCGCCATTGACGGGTCGAGGAACCGGGTTCTGGTGGCCATCGCGGATATGTTCGGGAATAAATACAGTGCGCTGGCGGCCTACGATCTGTCTACGTGGACACGCATTTTCCTGACTCAACTTAGTGGCCCAGGTAATACTTAATTCAGCGTTACATATAATTTCTAATTTTAGCATATGATTAATTGGTCTTTCATATACTTATTATTCACTCAAGTCTTTGGAAACCTGAAATGTTTATTTTATAGGGGTTTTTTTCCCCCTTTTTTAGTATTTAAAAAGTTTTATAAGGCTTATTTTATAATTGTCGAAAAAGAGTACAATCATTTTGGGACGAGTATGATTTTTCCAACACATGTGAATGTTCTAGCTGAGAAATGGGAAACTCATTTTCTTTTTTGCCTTCATTTTTTGCTAATACTCCATTTCATTTTATTTTTTCTTTTTCCCATTTGCATAACTGAGTTATTAGCTGAAAGATATGGACTGGTTCAAATTATTGTCATATGTACAATATTATTGCCTTATTTGGTCAAAGTGTTCAGTCGTGGGTTGGCCGGCGTAGAAGCAGTGATCTAACTAGGATCGGCTGTTGGGGGTCACCTTAACCTCTGGAAAGGCTCATAATTTGCAATATAAATAAATTTGGTCCCCACAATATTGCTTCTTCAAGGAATCATAAATCATACTCCCTCCCTCCCATAATTATTGTCCAGTTTGAGTTTTTATTTCTAATTTAAATTGTGTTAAAAATGAAATATCAAATTGGACAATAATTTTAGGACAGAGGGAGTACCAACAAAGTTTCTTCAATGCCATCAAAATATTTAGACATTATTGAGGGGGAAAAAAAAAACAAATAAATAGGACAATATGCTACTCAATGGGCCTGCATAAAATCCCACCTGTGGTGGGAACCCAGTTGGGGGGTTTTGGTTCCTAAACCTCTCTTGCTCTTTCTACCTGTTTCTGCGGCCTTAATAATTTTGTCCTCTGTTCTTGGCAGAAAATCATTGCCTTTTTGTTTTTTGAATTTTTGAATAGCTATGATCTTAGCACCCATTGAAAAGTGGATCAACCCAAACCTGGAAATGCCACATGTACTGAGTGTTGTGACGAGAGAGCTCTACAAAAAAATTGAGATTAACTAGATTAAAGTTGACAGGCGATTTTACGTTGTATCATAGACTATTAATATAGGACGCGGAAGGTATAATTAGGTTTTTTTTTTATTGTACTAGTGTTAACAATCAAACATCCTTTTTTAAATGTAGTTACTAATTACAAACAGTTCCACCTGTTATTGATTTATTCTTTCTGGGTATGGGTGACCATGTGTTACCATCCTTTATTTTTGAGTCAAACTTGGTTACCGGAGCTTAATTAGTTTAAAGCTACTTAGCTATCATAGTTTCTTGCCAAGTATAAAAACCATACACACACCCTTTTCTTTTCAACTTGTCTTTTGACTTTGTTATCTAGTCATTTCCGTTGGTGGACATTTGAAGAATAAAGTGGTCATGGAAAACCCATAAGTATAAGTTAATTCTAACCTTTTTTTTTTAATTAAACGGTAACCTATTAAAGATGTATTTGTATACCTTATATCGGGGATAAATGGAGTTATAATGCTTTAGATTTCACCTAAGGAATGGTTTTCTTTGGTAGTAGTTGCGATGAGGACTTTTCACCATTGTCATTACTGGTTCTAGTATGGCTAGTTAGTCGGATTAAAAGAAATATATAGCATCATAAGGGCTTGGATAGTCTTGTATCTTTTTCTGTTTAACAGAATGACTGTATGGACAAAAAATCTAATGTTAGTACTAATACTAATAAGGTTCAGAGTTTTTGCATCACAGATGATGAGAAAGCATTTGCAGACGATGTTGCAGTGGATGAAGAGGGCAATTCATATGTTACGGATCCAAAAGCGAGCAAGATATGGAAAGTCGGTCCCAATGGTGAGTTCTTAGGCACCATCAGGAACCCGCTCTTCAACCCAGATGGATGGGCGAACAAGCTGGTGGGATTGAATGGGATCGTCTACCATCCCAACGGCTACTTGTTAGTCATCCACACCTTTGCCGGAAAGCTATACAAGATAACCAACATCGGGAGTGGCAATGGCATTGCTCAAGTAGCGGTTGAGTTGGTTAATATTGTGGAAGGAGGTTCTCTCAAATTTGGAGATGGCTTGCAACTGTTGTCTCCCACGAAACTTGTTGCAGCAGGTAACCCTACCAGATTGGTCGAATCCACTGATGATTGGGCGACAGCAAAGGTCTTACGTTCGATCAAAGGCGCGAGTCACCGGATTGTCACGGCAGCTACCGTGAAAGATGACAAGGTTTACCTAAACCACATGTTTGGGTTAGGTTACCCTAAGAGAAAACACATACTACTTGAAGCCGTTTTCTGAGAACTGGGGGTAAGAGTAAAACCATATAGTTTCCGGGCCATGCTAGCTAGAAAATGTGCAATGCCATTTTGGAAAAATGGAAAAGGTACAGTTTCCACAAAAAAATAAATTTAGACTTAATTTTCTTCAAGGGTTCCACATTTACAGAGTACCACTACAATTGAGCTTTTCATAGTTCATCTTTTGTGTGGGTTTCAAATGTTACGTTTTGATTCTTGTAGTGTCTGTAATTATTTTCCCAAAGTTAAGAATGATGCAAACATGGTTCATTGTACAAGTTATTGTAAGATCTGTTTCTATGTTTGACTAAGATGGCATCGTTTCATATATTGATTTGATTTCCATTAGGATTGCAAGAAACAGGCTGGAAATGAAGGACAAAAAAGTGAGTGGGATGCGTATAATGGAGGGGATCCTGATAATAGGAACCGCGTATTTAAGCTCTAATAAATAATACTCTAAATTGATTTATAAGGTATAAATTTAAATTGGAAGATTGTCATTAATTACAAAATAGTTTAAATATCACATTTTATTCAACGAACCCGTATAACCAAAGACGCAAGGCGAATCAGATCATACAAATGAACCTAGTAAATAATTCAAAAGAATACATTACTCCCTTGTAAGCAAAGCAAAGGTACGGATTCTGCAAAGCACAAAAGCAAATGCTAACGGTATATTTAGTATGTGAAGATGGTTTATTTTATTTAGACAAATTAAATAAACAAAAGAAAGATCCAATTTAGCACTTAAACTTATTAAACTTATTAAGTGTTTAATTGATTAGTATCGTTTGATAACACAATATCGTAACTACTTAATTGATTAAGAACTTAACTAATTAAGGACTTAAATTGTAAGTGCGTTTGATAACTCAAAATAGGATGTCTTTAACAAATTAAGTGTCTCTGAAATACTAATACAAATATGAATCTAAAAATAAGTAATAGGCCTATCACTTATGTCTGAACTGAATTTTTAAACACGCTTGTTTTCTTGTTTAATTACTTTTATGTTTATATTTTTTATGTTTTATCTTGAAATAATTTTATTAATCTTGATTTTTAGTTATCAAATTAAAATTTAAATAAATTATTTTTATTTAATAAATATTTATTTTAATATAAAAATTAAAATCCGAATAAATTCCATGATCAATTATATTTGCCATAAAATATGATTTTTTTTTTATAATGATAAAGATATGACACTATTATTAACTGAAAAAATAATTACATAATAAAATTTAAATATTTTTATAACATAATTTATAATAATACTATTATTTATTATCATAGTTTCATATAAATCAATTATTATTTTAGATAAAATTATAAGTCGAGATATTTTAAATTTCAGTGTTCAGACTTCACATTTCAGACATTTTATTCAGTCTTCAGATTTTGAATTTTATCAAACAAGAGAAACTTAATCAGTTCAATACTATGATTCAGTCTTCAGATTTCAGATTTTAGACCCAAATTAAATTTTATCAAACGGGACATAAATAGTTCAGTAAATAGTTTGTGATTGACTTAATGCAACTTTTGGACTGAACCATTCTATCTTCGACACAAATTTTCCAAGAATTACAGTAATCTCAAAAGAGGAGGATATTCAGGCAATCTTTTTTTAAAGAAATGGAAGAGATAGACTAAATACAGTAAATACTAAATACTAGAATAGGATTCTTCAATCTTTATGACCATGAAACATTGAAACCAACCAATTCCAGACCATAAGACAGGACACATAATCGGGACTTTCTTCCAATTTGTGCATTGCATTAAAATACTAGTAATATTTTCCTCAAAAAAAATACTAGTAATATATTATTCTCTGTCACATTCACGTTATCACTAACCTCTCGCCCCATCTTCTCCAGCAGTTTCCCTCAACTGCTCCACTCCCACCCTTTTTATAGATTTGCATCGTTTTTTCAACTCCTAATTTTTAATTTTGGATTTTCTAATAATTTCTTAACGACCCTTTTTCTTGGATTACATTATTACATTGCATATTATTGTAATCAGCAACAATAACAACCCACTGACTGATATCTTGGACTACTTATCACTAGCATTAACTGCTACTACTAATTTCATCAGCAATGGCAGTTCTGTAGAGATGGAGAAGGAGAAACAGCTGCAGAGGAGTTTGTCTTCTTCAATGAAGGCTCCTCCTGCTAAACTGTTCCTAGTGTTTTCTCTCACGCTAGCCATCTCTTGTTTTCTTGTCCTTCTTTCTGTTTCTTTAATCTGGGTCGGTAAATCTTCATCACCCACTCACTTCCAGCAAACCCATCATTTTTTCCTCCAATTCAACCCATTATTTGATGTTAATACTTCAACCCGTTCCAGTACTGGTAGTATTAGTAGTGAATTGACAAGTTTTAGTTCTGAAAAAGATGCCAATTTTAGCAGAGAAGAACCAGAAGCAGCTGAAGAAGAAGAAGAAGATGATGAAGAAGTCAGTAAAGTGGTTCAAGAACAGAGCACTAATGATAACACTTTGTTTGAATCCAAGTTTTCGGCCCTTTTAGTGAACAATTCTGTTTCAGCAACCCAGTTCCAAAACATAGAAACTTACCCGAATCTGAGTAAGAATAAGGGTGATGATTCAATTGGGGTGGAGGAAAAGGGCAAAAATAATGGAATTGGAGGAGGAGGAGGAGGCTGTGATTTGACAAAAGGAAAATGGGTGTTTGATGAGAGGTATCCACTGTACACAAACAAGACTTGTCCATATATAGATGAAGGTTTCAATTGTGTGGGCAATGGAAGATTGGATAAAGACTACATGAGATGGAGATGGCAACCTCAAGATTGCAACTTTCCCAGGTAATCAATCAATCATTGATGGGACCTTTAAATTATCTTTTGCTTTAATTCTTTTGGCCCCAAATACACTTGGAGAAGTTAATCAATGCATACTAATGTGAATTGTATTCTAACCTTAAGGTAATTTCATTTGTTTTTTTACTCTAAGAATCAGTCAAAAAAATTCTGTGCGTATGACAGATGTATTGAAAGGTGTTTTCATGGTGGTTGTGTAGTTTTAATGCGACCAAGATGCTGGAATCGATTAGAGGGAAGAGACTGGTGTTTGTTGGGGATTCTCTGAACAGGAATCAATGGGAATCCATGCTGTGTCTATTGATGGGAGCCATTAAAGATCCCAAGAAAGTGTACGAAACCCGTGGAAGAAGGATTACCAAAAGCAAAGGAATTTACAGCTTCAGATTTGTGGTAAATAAGTTTTCGAGATTATAATGTTTCTTTGTTGAGTAATCTACCTTAACGGTTAATCATTTTATTTGAAATATTTTTTCTTTTGATAGGATTATAAGTGTACAGTTGAGTTCTACGTGACACATTTCTTAGTTCGCGAGAGTACGGCAAGATTGGGAAAGAAAAGGTTGCAGACATTAAGGATCGACACCATTGACAGAGGCTCTTCAAGGTGGAGAGGTGCTGATATTCTTGTCTTCAACACCGCCCACTGGTGGAGCCACAGCAAAACGAAAGCCGGGTAAGGTTGTGGTATATTAATTGGTGCTTGAAAATGAGGTCTTGGAAGAACATGTTTGACTCGAAGGACCTATTGTGTTTCTGTTTTACTGCCTCCGTCTCAAAATAACACAAAAAACACGGCAATCATTTTGGGATCGATAAAGTATTAATAACAAAAACCAAATTAACCATGTTTGTTAAAACATAGTCAGGATTGGTCTCTCTGTTTTCCCCTTCCGAGAAATGACAGGAAAAGCTTATTTGGCCAGCATCTGAATTCCCTTTCTTTTTGGTTATAATGAAACAGGATCAATTATTATCAGCAAGGCAACCAAATTCATCCTCATCTTGATGGGATGGTAGCCTTTAGAAGAGCCTTAACGACATGGGGATCTTGGGTGGACAGATATGTAAGCCCGCGGAAGACTAGAGTTTTCTTCAGAACTTCTGCACCGTCACATTTCAGGTTTTAGTCCAATCCTCTTCTCCTGGAGTTCTCAATGTTCGATCTTGGGTTAGTTGCGTAATGTCTATTACTACTTACTAATAATGGGAATCTCCGGCTCTGCCGGGGGCTGAATCTGATTGTGCAGTGGAGGTGAATGGGATTCTGGAGGTCACTGTAGAGAAGCTTTCAAACCAACAAACATAACTGCGGGAAATATCAGCCCAGAAAAGAATGGTGTTGTTGAAGAAGTCATCAGGCAAATGAAAACTCCGGTGACCTTACTGAGGATCACAGAGATGTCTGCTTATAGGAGGGACGGTCATCCGTCAATATATGGGAGTAAAGCTGTGAAGAGGGGAGTTCAAGACTGCAGCCACTGGTGCTTGCCCGGCGTACCAGATTCATGGAATGAGTTACTGTATTATCACATACTAAACTTCAAATTTTGAACAGCGATGAACTGAACTCGCCAGAAATAATTTGTAAATCTTAGAAATACCTATATCTCTAGACACAGATCTTGTAAGCAAATTCACAGTATAGAAGCTGAGCATTGAATGTACAGGCCAACACAGAAATTTCTGAAATCCTTTTGTCAACATTGCGAATGGCTGCAACTGCGATATTTCATTGTCTCTTATGTTCTCAATGCACCTCTTAACATCTTATATAACGCAAAACTGTACCAATAAGTTGTCTATACAGCCCTTATGGTCTTCAAATACAAAACAAAACTGACATGCCATCCATAGAGATCCTTCCCGGCTTAAAATAAAATCATAATGTCACCCATTCACCCTGATTTCTTAAACAATTGACTGACAGACAGTTTTTGACTAGTCAGAGCGAGGCTTGAAGGAAATACAGAAACAGTAGAACGAAATGTTAGCTCTGCAGCTGATATAATCATCAAAGTTCATCACATATAAAAAAAATGTACCTATATACACAAACCAGGAGAAATTAACAAATCACACTTAAGCATTTTACACGGGGCTGCTTACCTATCAACCTCTACAACGTTGAATAATATACTTATCTATAAGACCTCTTCCCTGTACAACACCTTTTTTTTTTAGGTTAAATATACAATACTTCTAATGCTAACAAGATGAAAATGTCATATTTCAATTGCAGCAATGACATGAACAGTTCATATATAAACATGTTTACAGAACAACACAAAGACAAAAAGCTTCCTCAATGTGATTGATGTTTTTTCGCTCGACCTTGAGGCATTGGTGAATCATCTCTCTTTGAGCCCTCGGGTCTCTTAGCCCATGCAGGTGCTTGATCGGGTCCATATCGGTAATCATAGAACAGTTCTTCCCCAGCTTCAATGCGCTCATTTGCAAAAATGCCAACTCGATGGTCCCCTGCAACCAGCATCACCTGTAGAAGTATCCTATCAGCTTAAGTAATCCTTGGAATGTAAGTATATAAGAAGAAGAGTAACTGTCATACCTTTGCATAACAGTTGGGATTTGCCGAATGATTCGCAAATTTTAATTTGTCTCCTTTCCGATAAGCATCCAGTACATACTAGACAGTTAACAAATGCAGTTGTCAGCTTTAGCATAAACATAGGGCCAAATCTTCAGTTCTTATACTCAAAATCAAGGTTTTTTTTTTTCAAAAATTAGTGCTCAAGTGCATTATCTACGCACTTCTGTACTATAACAGGTGCAAGAAATCCAACCACTCTCAGAATTAAATCTCAAATAAGATATAGAACTGTTTGACCCCTTGAAAAAAAAATAATTTACTTGCCTGCTCATTCAAGTCAAAAAGGAAAGACGAATTGGCGCGATCGTAGATCTTCCCACGTTTATCAGCTTCTCGATGCGAAATCAATTCACCAGTATATTCTCCCAGGTAATCATTCTTGTTGACAGTGTTCTACAACAACAATATCCATATTATTGAAAGCAACTTATCAACACACATGAAGGGAACAAAGAAACTTGTTTAGTTTGGCACCTTAAGAAAGGCTCCCCATCCAGCAACATCAGACTTTGACAAGAGAATCTATAATCCGGAAAAAAATATGACAAAAATGATCATGAGCGGAAGATAGTTTCTCTAATTTTTAACACATATTAACGACAGAAAGAGTGGATACTGTTTACCCTTTGCTGCTGCCTTAGGAGGAGCCTCATATTTCCACATTGACCTTCTCCTTGTCTAGGTGGCTCACCCAATATGGCATCACCGCAGCTTACATAATTAATTTCAAACCATTACACAAACTTATTGATGATGGTAAGAAACAACAAACATAGTCCTCTTCTAATAAATAATTTAACGTTGCCAAGACAGAATGGATGAATGATGATAGCTTGGAACTCACAAAAAAGTTCTTTGTTATTGTTAAATGAACGCAAAAGATTAAAAAATTTGAATGTCATTTTGAAGACTGTTCCAAAGTAAAGGAATTAACTTACAGAGCCAGATTAAAGTTATATGAAGACCAGTTACATGGACCAAAGATGAAAGAAACTATAATTGCAAACTATATAAATGACTAATTTAGGAAACAAAAGCAATAAACCCCTGCATTGTCTCTCTCATAATTCATTTCCAACAAGAAGATTACAAAAGGATTTCTGTTATACCAATTAGTTTCTCACTGCTCAAAACTTATGAAAGAGAAAAATGACCAGTATATATATGTAATACATATATGTATAGAAATAATTACCTGACCCAGCAATTGCGGCAGACGTCAGGGTCACATTCCCGCCCTGCGGCAAAGCAGGGGCATTGCCGGCTCCTGCATTGACTCTTTGCACAATGACATCCCCTAAATCTGTTTTTGCAGCTTTTGGAGCACCTGAAGAACAGAACTTTGGATCACTCTCATAAAGTGGAGCAAAGAAATTCACTACTTGCACAAAACTCCCGAACTCCTTTACAGTTACAGCATATAAATCTTGCTATCAATAATACTGGAGGAAGTCGAACAAGCAATAGAAAACATGAACTTCACATGTCAATTATAGCATCAACAATAAAAAAAATTTTTATCCTGTACATGTGGCTACATGATCACGTGTCGTCTACTGTGTTCCATTGAAGTTTCCCAGCAGTTATACGATTTTTATATGATCCATGCCATGAAGAATGGCTAATAAAGCAATGAAAACTTTTATGACAAGCCAATTCAATGTTTCTTGTTATCTGAACAAGGGGTCAACAAAGATATGCTTGCCCCATTCTTATGAGTTTTTTCTTTTGGAACATCAGGGATCTTCAGAAAACCCACTTGCAGACAAAAAATATGAAGAAATTTTTAAAGAAAAAAAAAGGAAAAAAAAAAAGAAGAAGAGAACAGCAGGAAGTGACTTGCCCACAGTATTTTTCACAACATGTTCCATTTTGTAGGCATGGGCATTGCTTTCCGCACATAGCCTGGCATCCACATGGCGTGTACTGTTTACATTGCTGGTTCTTTTCATCGACAATTCGTCTCCACATTGAAGGATGACCAGTAGATTTCCAGGAATACTTAAGCTTCCTGGTCCTACCCTTTTTACGGAGTAATCTTGATCTGGCTGGCATCTCTGACTCCTGGGAAAAGTGTCAAAATCATCAGATTTTAGTGAAAAGGAGAAACTGCATACTCTTAAATGAAAATGTGATCTGCGTGACACAATGACGTCATTCAGAGGCCAAGATAATACTCTATTACTATTGAGTTTGATTTTTTTTTAACAACCAAGTTGATCAAGTTCATGGAAGTAAGGCAATAATACCTTTCTAGTGGAACATTCTCCAGAATGGATTGGAAAAAAGAGAAATCTATCATAGTCAAAGCTTAAAATAAATACAATTGAGCGTGTGCGAGAAAGAAGAGGGAGATGACAACATGGTAAGTGTAGTGCAGGTGCATCTGCATACTTGTGAGAAAGTAAAAGAGTACAGCAAGCAGGAGTAAGAAACATAAAGTCACAACCATGCAATCCATGTTGGTTCTCCCATTGTCATCCGCACTTGAGCATGCGTAAGCTGTTGCTCCACGGGACATAGCTACCCCACCGTCATTCAGGTAAATAAACACCTCATTGCAAGTTTTCAAACCAGGAAGTAAGTTCCGAGCTATAAGGCAGCTGCAAAGCAAGAAAGTATTTATCAGATGTAGTTCTTGTGTACCCATATATCAGCTTAAAGGTCTCAATAAACAGATGTTCAGGAAAAGTTATTAACTACATGTCAATTTGCATTGAAAATAGTGGGTGTTCATCTTGAGCTCAAAACCTTAGCATTAACCTCTTGGACGCCTAAATTTATTATTGCTTGAACAAGTCAATCGTGGAAACTTCTTAAGTTGGTTACTTACTATCTAAGCCACATACAATCATGCAAATTAAGCTAGCCATGACAGATGTTCTAACTACACAAGCAGGTCATCACAATAACATGCTTCTACATACTTCGTGCGGGTCAAGCTTCAACATTATCATAGCAGAGCAGAACTATAAAATTTCATCAATGCGTACTAGAGATGCATAGAAAACAGATCATATGTGCAAATAGAACAAAATTTGAAATCTTCCCTACCTCTTTCTGCCAAATATTTCTATTCCTTTTATGAGCAGATCTTTTTCAATTGGATTCCAGTCAGAATTTTCCTTGAAATCCAACATCTGCTTGATCTTAGGCATCTCATAAACATCTCCATTTTGTTGAATTCTATCCCCGGAACTACTCTTACCAAGACAACCTCGGTCAATACCTGCATCATTTGTTTTAGGATTTTCTTCAGCTTCACTAAATTCCAGGTCCTTTCTTATAGCAGAAACACTCTGAGCCACATTGACCGCACTTCCCACAGCCATCCTAACAACTGTCTGTACTGTTGGCTTCGATTTCTTACTGCAAATCCCTGGTGTGTTGTTAGAATCCGTTCCAATCAATGGGTCCAGAGGCTCTAACAATTTGCGCTTTCCGGTATTTTCAGGATTTTTCTCTGCTTCAAAATAAAGTCCTAGGTCATTATATAACAGGAATTTTTAAGATCTATTTTTTAAGTCTCATACCGCAACGAATAGTAGTTTAATGAAAATAGCACTTAAGCCTCAAGACTAATCAAATTAAATCTAACCTGCCTCCCCAGGAATTAGAGCAATAAGGGTCTTCTTGTCCTCGGCTGGAGGTTTCTCTTCAAAACCATCGGACGAACTAGCTCCCAAGCCTTCTGGACGAGTTCCAACCATCCTTGCCTATAAAGTATTTTAAAGCTCTGTGAGTACCATGCAAGAGTAAGTCAAGTAATAGCCAGCTAAGCTCCAAAGATCATTACAGCAGCGGACACCATAAAGTTCAAGCTGACTAATATAATTTTTTTCCCGTGATTGATATGTCCAAAAGTTAGAGCAATACCAGAAGGTAACACTGTTCACCACAGGGTTTCTTTTCATCTTCGGAGTCTGATGAGTAAGATTGCTTGTCAGTCTGCTCAGTATGAACCCGTTTTAGTGATCCAAGCAAACAAAATAACAGGGAAAAAAAGAAGGAAAAAATAAACCGGCAAAGTGCAATCCGGATTAGAATCTTACCGAATTGATAACAACTTGAGAACAGCCATGTAAACGGCAATCAAAAACCTGCTTGTCACATCAAAGGAGATAGCATCACATGCAGGATACCACAATATTCGCGATCGACCCAGCAAAAATCAATTCAGCTCATTTTGTATTCCACATACCAAGCAACGTCGGCAAAAAAGGTTATCAAAAGAATCTAATGCAGCGGTGAGGCGCTTTCCCAAGAATGCATTCCATTCAGGGTCATATCCCTCAGAATCTTTGATGTTAGGGTTCTCCCTGAGATTTTGTTCATTGAGAACTTTACAACGATCCTACAAGTCAAATAATCAGAAGGTAAGTTGAAACATATTAGAATTTTAATCCAAATCTTACGAAAACATCATCCAAACCAGATTGTAGTTCTAACAATTAACTAGCAAAAGCTGTTGGTTACCTGAATTTCGGAAATAGTACCTCCAACAAACTGAATCAAGATCTTCAGGACCTCTTCATCTAAACCATACTCCATAAAGGTCATCCTACAAGATTAAATGAAGTGTTACATTAAATTAATTAACATAAAAACTTTCTGTGATCTATCCAACATTTTACTCACTACAGGGGTCTTACCGTAAAATTCGATCCTCCACTTCAGAAAATTCATGTTTCTCTTCCTCTGGTTCAGCTGTTTCTTCCTCACTGTCACTGCAGATCAGGGCTTCACTACCATGTGGATCATAGTATATCCTTCTCCTCCCTACTACTGACTGGTCTTCAGCCATCCTCTGGTTTCTGTGAAGAGTCGATAAAATCTCAGGCAAAAAAGCAAGTCAAACATTTGTCACAATGAGGAAGAAAGATGAATCGGGAATTTGGAAAACAGACATAATTATTTCATGATCAAACATTAGGCGATTGCTTTATAATTATCACACAATTCCTAGCAAAATATATCACAAATTATGCACACTCAATGTATCACAAATCATTCTCTATTCCAATTCCATGCAAATCCACAGGAGGAGACGGTTTCTCAGGAAGAAATTTGTTAAGCTTTTGATGAAAAGGGGAAAAAAAGCATCATCCATGCATCTCAGGCCAGGGCATGATGCTTCAATTTACCTAAGATGATCTTTGCTAATCCATTTTGTAAAGTTCAGCTAGCCAAATGCTATAGCGCTAAGCTTAAGACTAATCAAAAAGTGCTATGCAAACAAAGCACTTGCCTAAGTCAAAATAGTACGCAAAAGCAGGAAGTCAACAGGCAAACTAAAAACCAAAAACGGAAAAACTACAGTGGCATAAAGTCGATAAGAGGACCATACTTGTCTAAAAACATCCAAGTAGTGTATGGTGGTATCTTTTCCATAAACGGGAGCCTCACTGTTGTTGGAGACACAACCTCATCGCTGTTGACAGAATCTCTTTCTCCGCATATTTGAGAAATCCCCTTGATTTTACACTGAGGACTTTCAATTCTGGCTGAAAGCATCCTACCAAAATCATTTTCCTTTGGAGTAGAGACATCTTCCCTCATTGTAGCCAATTCATTAAGCTTGGATGTGTAAGTTTCGATATTCTTTCGGTTATCCTCAACCTTTTCCTGCAGAATAAGATAGTCTCTTCAATCTTTCCGAGTATTATGTGCATATCAAACTGTAGTTGCGTAGGTCTGTGTGCTAAGTGTAGATGCATATTGATAGTGCAAATAAATTTGCGCACTTTCTGAACATTTCATGAAGAAGAGGTGTAAAAGAAGAACTTTATGAACTTGAAAACCAGGTTCATTGAGAAACTAAACATGTTGAAATGAGTAGAAAGTGAATACTTGAGAAAAAATTTAGATGAGAATAGATATACCACAAACTTTAATCTGAGTACTCGAAAAGACAGATATTATTAGGATGGTATGCAGAGTGCGGATTATAATAAAACAAAAAAGACGTGAGTAGAGTTGAATGAAATATACTTTGACTGAAGCAACTCTTTCATCTTGTATCTGCTTCTTCAGTTGATTAATCCTATGAGTTAAGGCTCCCGAAGTATTACTTCCCTGTCCTCCAGAGAGATTCTGTAAGTGAAAAAGCAAATTAGAACGTAATACACACAATTCTTACTACTAGTTCGGTTACCAGAACAGATGAACCAAGTAAATCCAACTTGCAGCAGCTAAAAGGGCAACCTCATAATGGCAATATATGCAAGAGTACAGTAGGGAAGTTTTAACATGTTCAGAATTTCCGAAGCTTCATTCCAGTACATCTATGCGACTTAACCCCGTAAATTTAGCAAGATGTATGATCCCTAAAGTGCGTCTATCTGTTATACATGTGAGGTGCTATATCTATGTTGGATGTCATAATACAACCAGGCTAAGAATATCATTCAATCCTTGCTCCATGTAGGATGATTCGGTAAGACCCATGGGTTATGAAATTATGAAAACTTAAAGTCAAAGTAAAGGACTGCAGCTGTAGACTACTTTTTGAGTGGTGAAAACTAAATATCAACTTTTTACCCAGGCGACTGATGCCTCTGTAATTAATTATCCATCACATCCCTTACTCCAAAGTACAATACACAAAATAAGCATTCTCTTTCATTTATCCCCACGATTTTTTATTTTTTAAAAATAGAACATATGTACTAGTAACAAATAATCAACATTAAAGATTGAAAAAGAAACTGTAGAACCATAAAATTCCATTTTCGCAAAAGAATGCAGTTTAGTAATTGTTCTCTGGTTTTCCAGATTGAGGGAATTTTAACTAATCACTTGTGACTAAGTATTACTAAATCTGTTAATTCCACGCTTTTGGACGATAAAATAGGCGTGGAAAAAATTTTATTGTGCAGAAGTTATAAAGAAAACAAGGATTCCGATCAGGCGACCTCCCCTGTTTCCTCCATATCAGAACAGAGAAATAGAAGAAATGACAGCGTCACCGTTCCGACGAATTTCCTTTACGCAGACAACAGAAAAGCTTACAAATTTAGAGAAAAACTAAGTTTAGTCACTCAATCGAGAATTGAAAAACCAAAAAGAGGGGGGGAAATTCCGAACCCAAAAAATACGGGGTATCTGAAGCATGCAATCAAATTCGGAAACCACCGATCATTCCGATCACTCCAAACAGGAACAACAGCACGGAGAATTCAAAAACCTAACTGAGTTACTCGGAGAGAAATCTTAATTAACCTAAATAACTCAATAACTTCAAAATTGGGGATAATTCAAGCACCAAAAAAGAGAGGAAAAAGCAATTAGCTGTTTGATTGAGGAAAACGAGTAAATTAGGAAAGGGAAGGGGGTTTCTTACTTTACTGAATTTGGGAGGAGTAAGCGGAGGAGGAGGCGGCAGTGGAGGCGGAGGAGAATCGGTGGATTTGTCGGAGATCATGATGATGAAGTCAGCTCAGTGCGGTGCGTTTCTCACAGTTCTTCACTTGGCTACTTCACTGTTCGGTTTTGGAATCTTATATATATATAGAGAGAGAAAGCTCAAGCCCCCCTGCGGCTCTTTTTTTCTTTTCCTTTTTTTGGGTTTTGATTTATTGAAACGCTTCTTATATTTCCCCTTAGGCCCTGTATGTACGGATAATTCGCTTACATTTTTTTTCTTCTTTTTCTTTAGGCATATTTCGGAGTGGGGTTTTTTTTTAATTACTATTATTTTTCTTTTTCGTAACGTTCAGATTTTTTACTCTATTAGATTGAAATTAACACAATTGTTTAGTCACTAGTTTCAAAAAAAACATTTAGTAATTTTTTTTTTCAAATGGAACAATTTTAGTACAAATATTTCTATTTTTAAAATTAGATATTCCTAATTTTCTACTTTTTTTGAATTAGAAAAATATATAGGTGAAATTATTAAAAATGAAATAAAAGAAGCTTTTAAAAAACGATTTTTATTATGAAGGTGGATTAACAAATCAACGTCTTTATTCTTTCAGTCTCGGTAAATCAGTTATAAATAAATCACTTATTTCAAGATAGAATTTTTACTGTTGTTCAAATCTGTAAAAGAGATCTTTCATTTTCTTTTTTTTCTTATTGGAAGCATAAAATCATTTGAATTAAATCCTATACTCTAACAATGCTCATACTTCTAATTTCTAAATTATAGTTTTGTCGAATATGAAACATAACTAACTCTCCCGCCAGTTAACGAAAATTGCCGCTGTTTTTTTCTCTTTTAAAAAGTCCTGTAATTTTATTCCCTCTCACTTTCACCATTTATTCAAATTTACAACATGATTAAATGAATTTGTCTTCATTTCTCTTTTGTTTTTGGTTAAAAATTTGATCTCATTACCATAATCAGGATAGATAGGTGCATGAACAACACATTCATGAGCCCAAATCAAAGTTAGGAGATTTACCTCCCACATCCCCTATTGACAAGTGCAAGATTCAACGAAAGTTTATTACACCAAATTAAGTTTTTTTTGAAGATTTTGGAACCCTTTAAACGGAAGAATATATAATCTGTAGCTGAAAAAGTATCTAATTTCTTTGGATTTTGGACTTAGTAGGTTCATTGAAACTTTTAAATTTTATTTTTGGTTCTTCCATTTACATTTTTTCTTTTTAATGTTGGCCAAGAAAACTATCACAATAAGATTTAGGAGAGATGCCTTCCATTAGAATCATATTACTTGGGATACTTTTATCATTTTTATTTATACAATTTTCACCTTCCAGTTTTGGCAAAACCTTTTGTTTGCTTAAAATCATTTTCGTTTTGCATAAAACGTCTTCTTTTCACTAATAATAGAACACTACGATACAAAAATTTATATTCTCCTAACTCCAAAAAAGAATAATTCACATTGATTTTGAAATTTATATTGTTTTTATTTAATATTACAAATTTTAAAACTCGATGTAAACTATATTTTTGGACATTATGTACTTTTCAGTTGATATTGACCGTCATCCTGCGCATCAAAATATCTCTAATAACGCCACACAAAATTGAAATCAACCATGATCGATCATGATGCATGATGCTGAACAAATACAAGTACAATTAAACGAACTTCCAAGTCGTAAGAGAATGAATAGGAGTTCCTTTCCATCCAATTACAATTCCTTTCCCATTTTCTTCCAAATTACACTTCTCTTCGGCACCCGTTTTCCCAAACCGTTTGAGGATCAACTTTGCCTGACGGATCGAATCTTTGCCGATCTCGATCTCCGTCAATCCAAACCTCCCGAAGTATTCTCTCCACACCTCCATGGTCACGTTTCGGGTGCACCGGTTTTCTCCCTCCGTCGCAACCATGTTTCGAATCCCTTCTCCGAAATACAGCCCCTCGATGATTTTCCGGTCATCGTCTTTCCTTCCCATACAATCCTCCAGGCAGTCGAAGAATGCGGTGTAGAAGAAGAGGGATTCCGTAAACCGGGTCACAAATGATGGAGAATTATGGTTCGCTTCTACCTATATGAATACAAAAAGTTTTGTGAGTGATGACAACATATATTACATTAAACTAGGCTCTGTCGGAAACCTTTTCCACTAGGTTGTTTCATTTATATTTGAAAAAAAAAAAAAATCTTACATGTCAATTTTTTCATTGTCCATACATCTTATTAAGGAGTATATAAAAAATACATACCCAAAAAACGGTCCTACCAAAACGTCTCTAAATGTTTTATTGATAAGTGGTAACATTGAATATTTGTTACAAAAAATGATTGTTTTGTTTATTTCTTTCATTGTCCTAAAATGATTGTTCAGTTTGAATTTCACTTTTCTTAATACTCTTTCCGTTCTGAAATTATCGGTCTTCTAACTCAAATTGTACTAAACATAAAAATCCAAACTAGACAACCATTTCATAAAAAAAGAGATAACAAAACTTTGCACAAGTTACCAAACCATCATTTCTGGAGGTAAGAAGTGTATGATTTTGGATTTTAGACCAGCGGACTAAATATTGGAGAACTCGTAATAGATTTAGCTTTCTTTAATTAAGACGAGCAAGTAGGTTAAGCTTTGTTGAATATTACTGATTGTCAAAAAGTTGTTACCTCGTTGACCACCACCACCGCCGGCTTAAGCCTCCTCATCACTTTCATCACACTAGCCAAGCTGTCCGGTCTAGAAAGCATGGTTCTGAACACCATCGAGGCGTAAACCGCCACGGCTTCCTCCGGTTCTCTCCGGAACATATCTTCTTTCAACTCTTTCATGTCCTCAACCACCACCGTGTTGAAACAAAATCCCGGCAGGTCCATCGACCGAGCAAACTCGACTAACCTCTTCCCGGCCTCCTCCACGTTGCCCTTGTTCGTGGCGGTGGCGACGGCCGTGATTCGGATCACCGGCGGGGTCTCCTGATCCACCAGTGCTTGCATCAGGACCGTCCAATTCACGCCGCTCCGGATATGGAGATCGATTATGTGGATTTTATTGGCGGATTTCAGGTAGTCCAACACGGCCTGCACGGCGGCGAATTGGGTGGCTTGGATGAACGGGAGAGCCTGATGGCAAGCCACGAAAGCGACGTTGAAATCCAATTGTAAACTTCTCGCGTAAGAAGATCGACGGTTCAGATCTTCGATCGTCGTTCTTCCGGTTTCGATCTCGATCCTCCATTGGAGGGCTTCCGCGAAATAAAACACGATCCTCTGGGTCGGGTTGCCGGAGTCGGACGCGACCCATAAACACCGGTTGATGAGGGAGCTTGCCAGGTCATACTGTTTGTGACCCACACACTCGGCTGCCAACAGAAGGAACTGGACCAGCTCCACGTCAGCCATTTCCGATGACGAAAGCTCCGACGTGATGACGGAGGGCGCGTAGGGGTGAATCGACGTGGAAAATCCGTCAACTTGCTGGGTTGAAAACTGGATGAACTGTTCTCCGGCGACTTTCATTATGTTTCCCAATGCCAACTTTTTGCTTCCTTCAATATTACTACTGCCGCTTCCTCCGCCGCCGCCTTCGCCGCCGTTGTTACTACTAATTTTTCTGAGTTTTTCTTCCCGGGTGATGCCGCCGAGAGCATTCCTGAACCCTTTGCCGTAGTTGTTGAGCAGCTCCAACGATGCCAAAGAGAAAGTTTGATGAAGTTTCTCGGCCGGAAGGCCGTTATGACCAGCTGCCGGATTTCCGCGTTCCAGAGGACTGTTTTGCTGGCCGGACTGATGATCGTAATCATTAACACTCAATTGTTGTTGACCGGTATGATTTTCAAAATTCGGTTCGCCGGCGTGGACGACATTATAGCTAGGCTGATGATTTTGATGATCGCCGGGAGAATTGAACCAAATCTCATTGATGGATTTTTGTGGTTCTATGTTGCAATCCATGTAAAAGCTATGCTTAGTGAGAGTAGATGATATCTATGGGTGAATTATTGGAGCTTTCTTTCTTGTTAGTTCGAGTGAATAATTAGACACATTTATACATGATGATGATGATCTCAACAAACACTATTCATTAAATTAATTTCTTTTTTCACATGAGATAATTACAACGTTGATTGTGAGGTTTTTTACGTTTTTAGACCCTCTCCAATCAACTAAGTCCCACACTTTGTTGTTTTCCTCTATTATTTATTTATTTTTATTTATTTTTTTTGTTTTTGTTCTATATACAGTGAAATTTTGGTGATTTACATGTGTTTCCGATGTTAATGGAATAAAGTTAACATGGCCTAAGTCATTAACCTCATATGAGTTTCATGTCAACAAACCAGCACAGTAATAAAGAATAAAAGGGCTGATGTTTACTTACCCTTTCGGCAAGAAGAGAGGCATAAAAAAGTGTGATGATTGCTATGATTGGAGGCATGCTGATGCATAAGTCAAATCGACCATTTAGTTGATGGACGTGGTAATAATTTATGTTAATTTCACGATTTGATGCAAATGTAATTCTCGAAGGAAACAAAACTAAAAGCCAAAGCTTCGAGTCTTCGACAATCGACCCACACATGTATATTTGATACGTAAATTAAATTAAGGTTTGCAATTAGAAATGATAATTTGGAACTTTGCGGACAAATATGCTATGGGATCAGATTCAGCTACATTCCACTTATATAATCCAAGCTTAAAGTGGACAAGAAAAATTAAGATTATGATTTCAACTCTTTACGAAGTTGAAATTATTCTCCTTCCGCTGAGTCAACTGAAAAACGAATTCACTTTTTTATTGTACCCTAAAATATGTTTGTTTGTAAATTGATTAAATTAAATCGATAATTTGCATCTTTCGACGTTCTTATGACTTGTTTGATAAAGTCACTTAATACTTAAAATTATTTGATTAAGCACTTTTTTATTTCAGCATATTTGATAACAAAAAATGAGTCTCCTAATAAATTGGTGCTGAAACTGCAGTAAAAATATAAGCAATAAAAGTTAGTTTATCGCTTATTCTGTAACTACTTGATGAATTCAGCAATTCTAATTCAGTATTAAGCATTAATTTTTATCAAAAAATTCTTAAGTGGTGTTAAAACTGCAGTATAAAAAAATAGAAATAAAAGTTAGCTTATTATTTATTCCATAACTGATTAATGAATTCAACAATTCTAATTCAGTATTAAGCATTCCGAATTAAACATTAATTTTATCGAACAATACTTAGTTTACTTTTATTTATTGTAATTAACTGGCTTGTTTGATAAAAATTAGTGCTTAATTCTGAATACTTAATACTGAAATAGAAATACTGAATGCTTAACTTTTATATTTTAATATCTAAAACAAAATGCTTAGTGAAGTAGTCTTGTTTGATAAAAATACTGTTATGAATGCTGAATTGTGTGAATTTTACCAATTTATTCTTTTATAATTTTTTAAAATTTCTTTATTGTAAAATATTTTTTTCCCCTAACTATGCAGTAATTATGTTCATTATTCATAAAATATATACTATAAAATTATTATATATTGTAAAATGGCAAACTAAAATGCGCATGGCATTTTTCTTAATAAAATGAATGAGCCCAATTATAAAGTATTAAATTTTTATATCTTTGAAAATAAATTAAAAGAGAAAAACCAAACACATATGTATGAAATAGTTAAGATTTTTACGGGTAAAAACAACGAGACTTTATTTAATGAAAATGAACCATTAAAATATTTAAAGAGTATTTAATTAGTGTGTTGAATAATAAAATATTCATGGGTAATGTTGAAATTCAATAATAAAGAATTAAAAACAAAGATGGATGAGAGTAATAAGCAATAAGCATTAAGCTAGATTTTAGTGCTTAAAATTTGTACTGGAGTTTCATGAGCATTTAATCAAATAAGTGAACCACTTTTTAATTATCAAACATATTTATTCTAAAAATCACTTAAACTAATAATTTTAAGCAATAATTTAAGTTATCAAACATGCCTCAAGTGAATTATGTACTTTTTTTAATTCTTTTTCAATATAGGAGGAACTTGTGCTTTACGCTTTCACCAATTGAAGAAACGAGAATATGCTATACTCTCTTCAAAAAAAAAAAATTATCATGTTTAAAATTTTACTTTTAATATAATTTGTTCAACAAATAAATTTCTATATCAATTAGATAATCATTTTGGATAAACGGAGTACTATTTTTTTCCATTTTAGAAAAAAATAATTTATCTTGTTACACTATTGTAATTCATTAAAATAAACTTCTTTTTTTTTTTAAAAAAAAAACCAACTACTTTTTCGAAACCTGAGACGGTAAGAGTATCAACTAAGGTTGTTTTCTGAGATGCAGGGTAATTAGTTGGTCACTTAATTTGCATGCAATGATTAAACATACTTTGGATAATCCAATTCTAATGTAGACAAAGTAAGAGAATTGATTTAATTACATGAAAGGTGTTGCTGGAATATTTTCACTCATCACATTCATTTCATGCAACTTAGTACATTTGTCTACATTTTCTTTTTGTCACGTTCAAAGGCTACCAAAACGGAATAATTTCACACAAGTGGTAATATGGCCTCGATTTGAAGGGCTGATAATCATTCGAAAATCGCTTTTCTTCTGTTTTTTTGGCCTTCCATGTAGATCTTCTCCTTTAGAAACATATGCCATGCGTTCTGAAATGCATGATTGTCATATTAATAATAATATACTCCCTCCGTCCCATAATTATTGTCCACTTTGCCCAAAAAATTTTGTCCCAAAATTATTGTCCAATTTGACTTTTTATGGATCAAGTTACACATTTGTCCTTAGTAAAAAACATTATCTATAAAATCTTAGTGGTTAAACAATTACTTATGTAAGGGTATATCCGGTTGTTTAAGGTAAAATATAGTTAAGTTTGACCAAAAATAAAATTTTTCATTTTAGTAAAACTGGACAATAATTATGGGACGGAGGGAGTACAAATTAAACAATTATTTCTTGACGGGACTACCTCAAAAATAATTATACACTCTATCACATACACAATATATATTCACTACTCAATAACTAAATGAAACTGCGAGAAACTGAACTAAGAGTTATAATTCAGGTGATTGATTTAAGGATATCCGAAAAGAAGTAACCACCCACGCAATTGTTCCTTTAATTCATAAATCAATCAAATTTGGTCTTGATCAATTTAACAGAGAGCCATCAAAAAAAAAAAAAAATCATTTTCATTTGAGTGACGATTTCGATTTTCGAGAAAATCGGAACAGTGGACACTTGAACTCGGATGTAGTCCACTAGTTTCATTTTAGTGTAATTACAATTACAATATGCTAATTTTTTCCATATTTAGATTTTTGACCAAGACAAAATGGGTTAATAAGCACATAGTATGATGGTGAGCCTATTTGAAAGAGTCACGCAAAACTAAAATGATCTTCTCTTACATCCCAATGATTCAACTCTGCTGCACCCACGTCAAATGCCAATGATTTGATTTTGTTTTTTAAAAGTACATTAAAAAGAAAGAATGCCAATGATTGGCTAGTTCCATGTTTTTTATAAGTATTTCAAAGGTTGGTATGGCGGTTTGCCAATCAATTCTTTCACCATACACTGGAAAACATAAATAAAAGTTAAAAAGGCCAGAAAACAATAACGATGAGTATTGAGAAACTGGAGCATGTCTGATTAGAGACGTTTGGTACGCGTAATGTGATGAAGTCAAGTGCGTGCAGTGTTGTTGTATGATTTACTCGTTCGAACTAACTTTGTTCTTCTACCTTGACAGTTGCTTCCGCTGAACAAGAAGGAATCTCAAACTCTTTTTTTTGTTTTTTTTTATATATATATATATATATATATATTTAAAGGGGTCAATAGTGGTTTTTCACTTATTTCGGTGTGATTCGAATTCTTAACCTATTAGTCAACAGGTGAGGCGTATTACCATTAAATTATATGTCGTTGTCGTTGTCGAGGGAATATCAAACTCAAACTAACTAACTTGATCAAGAGTATAATCAACCGAAACAATAAAGCAAAAATATACTTTCTCTCCCTGAAAGAATACTAACCTATATTGTAATTCGTGATTTGTGCTAAAAACGGTACAAATCACAAATTATAGTATAAAATGCTGTTTTTCTGAGTCCCAAAGAGTAACCTTATTGTCTCCGGAAAATTATAACATATATTTTGAAACTATCTAGTAAAATTCTACCAGCGAGACATGCGACGTACATGAAAGGAATCACTAAAGTACTTTTACGAACTTACTGAATGCTCCCTCCGTTTACTCTTTGCCATTTTTCATAATCATTTGAATGTGAAATGCATACATATGTCATAAAAAAAAATAATTAACTGTGCAAAATGAAAATAAGAATGAATCCGGGAGATAGATTATTTACCTAAGACTTTTGGACCGTTGCAGTTCTTTAATTCTATCTCAAAGAACAGACCTTTACTTGTGTAACAGAAAAGAAAGAGAAAAAAGACCTTTACAATGTCTTCCTCCAACATGTAACTCGACGATTAAATCTGTAATTTTTGAACTTTTCAGACCACATCCTCCAACGGCGGGAGCTGATGACGAGAAGACTGCCGAAGCACGGATTCAGAAGACGTTTCAATGACGAACTTCCTACGACTTGACGTCAACACGGCGGAGACGACCCAAATGATTCCTTTCAAAACTCTTATGCTTCCGATCAACGACGTCAATGCATACAGCCACCAACCACCGAACTCCCCGATCACCGCAAACACCACATCACGCCGTCGTTGTATGGGCCTGAGAATTAGCTCCGGCACCAACATCAGGAAATCCACCTCGTCCCTCAGTTTGAACCACCAAACTGCCCCCAAGGTCAAAGCCACACCAACCCTCTCCGCCACCGACCGACCGCCACCTCCTCCGCCGCCGCCGACCCCGTCCTCCACGACGGTTTTGGCAACGTACTTTGACCAGAACGACATGGTTTCATGTAGGCCCACGAACAACAATGCTCTGGCAGTGAACATGTAGACATCGTTAGAACTCGCCTCCGCGATAACGGAGACGTTAATCCCGGCGGATATGCTCCATGCGGTACCAACTACGACGTATACTAGGAACATGAAATGCAGAAACCATGCAATTAGCTTAGAAGTTGGGTGGCGGCCGGAAATGGGTGGTTCCGGAGTCGGGGACCCGATGTTTAACGGGAACCGGATGGAGGTCAATCTCTGGATGAATGCCGCGACGGTAACGATGGCCACGAGGGAGTAGAGAATGATGGACTTACCGTTGTATATGAAGAGCAAAGTGGAAAACACGGGCGGAAACTGATAATAACTGCTGGAATTGACCAACAAGGAAAGACAGTGGACGGCGGATAGTCTTGCAAGGAGGAGGAAGGAGAGCGGAATGGGGAGACTGAGTATGATTGTCGCAAAGATTTTAAAAGGGATTCTCCAGCTCCAATGACACCGGGTGCGGTTGTCACCGCCGCAGCCGGCGGCGTAGAGTTGCTTAATATCGCTCATATCTTCCACCTCGTCATCTTCTTGAATGGTGGATTTCCAGAAGCCCATTTTGGTTTACTACTAAACTAATCTTTTTGATGATTCAAATTTTAGTTCTTCCAATTTTTGGGGGGAGACAACCAAAAAAGAAGAGATTGCTAGCTAGCTAGCAAACAAACTTCAAGTCAGTCAATCCCAAACAAGTTAATCGAAATGAACTTATAAATATAGAACTAGAACTTAGAAATGGATAGATATATTTTTTGTTATGTTGCGGTAATCTGGGTTTTGAACCGTTTTGCTATCAAAATCAAACCAATAGAATAATTAAGCAAAAAAATTAAAGGGAATATTTGAGTCCTTACCTTGTCCATTTTTTTTTTTATTATGTGGTTAGCTAGTGTGGTAATAATTATATTAATCAAACACACATATACAAAATGGAGGAATGCATGTAAGATTATTAAATATGTCAAACCAAAAGGAAGGAATAAAAAAAAAGAAAGAAGATCAAATGATTATCAGGCCCTTAAAAAAAAAGACACGAAGTTTTGAAGAATAGTTAAGCAGTTTTCTAATGATTATCAGGCCCTTAAAATCAAATGCAGGTGAGCAGGTCGTATTACAACTTGTGTGAAATTATTCCGTTTTGGTAGCCTTTGAAACGTGACAAAGAGAAAATGTAGACAAGTGTACAAAGATGAAATGAATGTGATGCGGGAAAATATTCCTGTCATGTAAATTAATTTTAGAAAAAGCATATGCATCTTTCATCGTTGCATGCAAATTAAGCTGGCCTACTAATTACCATGCATTCCAGAAAACAACCTTAATTGATACTCCTAAACCTCAAAGAAATAGTTCCAAAAAAATTTTAAAAAATGTTTATTTTACTAAACTAAAATAGTGTAACATAACAGATTATTTTTCTAAAACAGAAAAGATAGTACCTTCATCCAAAATGATTTATTTAATTTAAAAATTTATGTTTAGAACAAATTATATTAAAAATTAAATTTGAAACATGACAATTATTTTAGAGAAAGTATTTATAGCACCTTTATTGTCTTCATTTGGTGAGAGCATATTGCACGAGTTCCTCTGCAGATAAAGAATTGACAAAACGTACATAATTTACTTAGTTAAAATTTGATAACTAAAATTAATAAAAGTAATGTATAGGAAAACTCCGTCCTCATCCCCACACACCCAAACCCACTAGGGGCTGAGATGCAAGGCAGAACCACCAAGAATTTCGGCCAGAAGTAGTCAAGTAGATGTAGGCCCCGAGCCCCCAGGTGGTAGGAAAATCACTATTAGCCTTGATTGGGATTTGCGGGGATCTTCTGAAATGATCCACGAAATTTTAACATGTTTTCCTTGACCAAAAAAAAAAAAGTTTCAACTTCTCATAGCTTATCTAGACAAGAACGTGCAAAGAAAATTATGAGAAGTTGATATTTGACAAGCTTGATTATGAAAGGAGAGAATATTGTTTGGGGTTCTCTTAGTTTGGGTAATTAAATTCATTGTATCATTCCGCTCCCATGTAGATCAGCTCCTTCATAAACATATGCATATAAAATAATGGCCGTGCATGAATATATAGGTGCTTTATTAACTACTAAGAATAATACAACTGAACATCTATAAATTAATAATTCACAAATTAATAACATTTATAAATTAATAATTTTCTCAGTTCCTAAATGGTGACCAATATAAAAAACAAAAGTTGTAATCGATAAGATAATAATTTTTCAGAAATCTCCTGTATAAATTTAGATCCTGTCAATATCATAATTTAATAATGACTTGAAATATATACATAAAAAATCAAGAGTTGTAAAATATGAATTTAGTAGCGTGTATATACATACATATATATGTATATATTTAAATTTACATATGAAGAGATTTCATCTTTGATTGTTTCCATTACTTTCAAAAGTTCTTGTGTAAAATTTTCATATTACAATAAAAAATTTCAAAAAATTACTAGCCCAATAAGTGATTCATTTTGTGTTATTGGTTTTGAAAACACTGGATCATCATCATTTTCATTTCATGTCTTTCACCCTTTTACCCATAAGAACACTACAAACTCTGATCACCTGAACTATATATAGTACTCTTTGGCAACAGAAATTTGGAGGCCCAATATGTATGGAGAAATAAAAGTACAACATTAATAAGCACCACCCTGCCAACGAATGCCGAATAACCCAGTATTTGATTCTAGTTGTTATTTTCTCAACTAATACAATCCAAATTAATCTATCTATTAGGGGAAATAGGTACCCCAAGATACCTCTTTGGATATTCACCCCAGCTATTTCAAGTAATCTCTTTAATTTTAGTATTGACAGTATCATCCATACCTCCACAACGAACATTTGACTTAGCTTTCAATCCAATTGTTACTGCAAAGTGATGCAGGACATTCCTAACTCTTTATACAGAGGATGATCAAATTATCCGCAAAGCTCAAATTGGTAATTTGCAACTGCTTACAGCCTGGATGAAACTCGAATCCTCATTTGTCAACTTCATACTTGAACAACCTATTCAAATACTCCATTACAAGGACAAACGGCAAAGGTGAGATTGGATCACTCTGTCTAATACCCCTCTCACTTACAAAGAGCCCTGTCATGCAACCATTCAAACATATGGAATAGCTGCAAGTCAAAATCCAAGCTTTTAACCACCATATAAACTTTCTTGGAATCTATATGCCTCCAAAACTTTAGAGATAACTTCCCATGCAATAATCACACACGTTCTAAAGATCTACTTTCAATAAGTACCTGGATGGGGCATTCTTCCTTCTATACAATAAATTAATGCACATTGATTTGCTCTACTAACAATGGCAGGACAATCTCCAATCTGTTGCAGTGCATCTTGGACATACACTTATATAATGTAATACAACATGAAATGGGACGGTACTCAGTTGCATTATGAGGGAAGTCTTTTTTAGGGATACGTGCTATAACCGTAGATTAAGCTGCTTCAACGATTTACAAGTACGAAAAAAAAACTAAAATATAGCCTCACAAGTATTATCCTTACAGTAAGTCTTCTTGTAAAATCCACTTGTGAATCCATCGTGGTCAGGGCTCTTAGTACCACTAATTGAAAACATGGCCTGCTTGACATCATCTTCTTCTGTAAAGTCTTTGATTAATTCTAGTAGCTACTCTACTGTTAACGATGCACCTGTTAAGCATGCTTCCTTGTTTATTGATATTCTTCCTTCCTCTTTTCCCAAAAGGTTCTTGTAAAAATGTCATTGCATTAACTTCCCCAAATAGTTTCACTCTCTGCGTCATTTTTCATAATTTTTTTAAATGCCAAATGCATACACATGTAAGAGAATGCTATAATTTAAAGCAAAATGAAACTAAGAATCAAGACATCTTATGACTTTTTAACCGTTACAGTTTTTTTTTTTTTTTCCTATTTAAAGAAGAGAAGAAAAAAGAAAGAAGACCTTTTACTTGTAGTCTTGTACTTGTCTTCTACCAAAAAGATTTTTTTTTAAAAAAAAAGAAAGAAAAACCTTTACAACGTTTTCCCTCCAACATATAATAATTTGGATTATATCTGTAATTTGTGAACTTTAGACCACGTCCTCCAATGGCGGGAGCTGATGATGAGAAGACTGCTGAGGGACAGAGTCAGAAATTTCAACGACGTCGTTCCTAAAAGTTGAGGTGAATACGGCGGTGACGACCCAAATGATTCCTTTCAACACTCTTATGCTTCCGATCAACACCGTGAATGCATACAACCACCAACCATAGAACTCCTCCGCCGCAGCAACCACCGCATCAGGCCGTCGCTGAAGGCGGAGGATCAGCTCCGGTGCCAATATTAAGGCATCCACCTCGTCCCTCAATCTGAACCACCAAAGTACCCCAAAGCTCAAAGCCAAACTAACCCTCTCCGCCGCCGGGCTACCACCACCACCTCCTCCTCCGCCGACAGTGTCTTCCACGACAAGTTTGACAACGTACTTTGACCAAAACGACATGGTTTCATGTAGGCCCACGAACAGCAATGTTCTGGCAATGATAACAGAGATGTCGTTAGTGCTCAACTCCGCGATAAGGGAGGCATTAACTCCGGCGAATATGCTCCATCCGATGCCAACTCCGACGTATACCTGGAACATGAAAATGATAAACCATGCACTGTATATCTTAGCAGCGGGGTGGCGGCCGCCGGAAACCGGTTGTTCCGGAGTCGGGGACCAGGTGGCGGTCAAGCCGTGGATGAATGCTGCGACGGTAACGGCGGCAACGAGGGTGCAGAGAATGATGGACTTGCCGTTGTATATGAAGAGAAAGTTTGCTAAAACAGACGGAAACTGAAAATGGTGGCCGGAATCGTCGACGGAGGAAAGATAGCCGGCGGCGGAGAGTCTGGCAAGGAGGAGGAAGGAGATCGGGAAGAGGAGACTGATTACGACGGTCGCGAATATTTGAAAAAGGATTCTCCAACTCCAAGTCCGGGCGCGGTTGTCGCCGCCGCAGCTGGCGGCGTTGAGTTGTTTAATAACAACGCTAAAATCTTCCTCCTCCTCACCATCATGAATGTTGGATTTCAAAAAGGCCATTTTTGATTTGCCACACTAACTTTTGATGTGTCAATTAATTCAATCACAAAACAAACTAGTCGTAATAAACTTATAAAATATAGTCGTAAGAGATGGTGATATATATATATATATATATATATATATATCTGATCTGTTGTGGTAATCTGGGTTTGGACCGTTTTGCTATCAAAATCAAAGTAATAGAATAATCAAGCAAAATCAAAGAGAATATTTGAGTCGTTACCTTGTCCTTTTTTTTTTCTTTATATTATAATGTGGTTAGCTAGTGTGGTAATAATTGTTGTATTAATAATTAGCTTCATCAAGGAAATTTGATGATTACATATTAGCTCCCTGACATTCGTAGAAATTCCCATTCGACCAGACTAGGCAACTCACGCTCACTTTTCTTGCAGACATGCCCTCGGCTTAATTAATAAAAATAAATGATTGACGCAACTATAAATTCCCAGAAAAAAAAAATGAATGATCTTGCCCTGTATCTCAAGTGTAAAGATCATCATAATAAGTTTTATTTTCTGTCTCACATATAGTCATTGGCAAATTGACTTGATAGTCCCATTGTTCAAGAGGAGTTTCGGTAATTTTCACAACTTTCAGGAACTAATAGTCGTTTCTCCACAAAACGCAAAGGATAATTGATAGAATTTCGTTAGTACATTATTTTAATTATACTCCGATACTTGTGGTTTTGATTAAATAATATATAAACAATACTTCTTCTTCTTATTTTTATTTTTATTATTATATATATTTGTAATTTTATTCGGTAGGGGAAGCATTCTCTACGGGTTGTTGTGATAGATGTTTTCACACACACATAAATAGAGTGGAGGAATGCGTGAAAGATTATTAAATATGACAAAGGAACGTCAAAGCGGAATGATGCAACTACCTTAATTACCTAAACTAATCTGTCAGTAGAAGTTGTTCAGAGTTTTTTTTTGCTATCGATGCTTATTAGGTTTGTTGATCGTAGTTCTTGTTCAAGAAGATGTATTTATCATAGATTTGATTATTAAATATATGAAATGGAGTTTTCATCGGAAGACAACTGATATATTCGAGATAATATTTTTGGTACGTGGCATATTCAACTAACAATGAATAATTCAACTGAATTAATAGATCTAGATCAATACAGATTGAAATATAGTGAATACAATAATTTTGAATTGAATATTATGTATATGGACAGTTGTAATAGTTTAGTTGCTGCTTGCTGAGAGAATTCTAGTAAAGTTAATACAAATTCTTGTTTTTAAAAAAAAAACTTAATTGCCTAAACTAAGACAATCCCAAAGAATAATGCACTACAAAAAATAAATAAATACAGAAATTGATTTCAAGAACTTCAATCTCAAGGTTTCTGCTTTTAGCAAGTCAGTAAATACTAAATTCGTTAGTCGGACGGATACACAGATTTTAATAGAGAAATTATAAAACTGAAAAAACAGATTGTTGTATTATTTTATAATCTTTTAGTGAAAACAAAAATGTTAAGTATGAATTTAATAGAACATATATAAATTAATAACGACAAATTAATAACATCTATAACTTAATAATTTATTCGGTCCTAAGTCGGGACTAGTAAAAAAAATAAAGATAATGAAATAATAATTTTTTTAGAAAACTTCTTTGTAAATTTAGGTCCGTCAATGTCATAAATTAATCATGACTTAAAATATGTTATAAAAACTAAGAACAAATAAAATATGAATCTAATAAATTATCATTTTTTTCTTCCAAATTCTGAGACTTCTTTTTTTTTTTTTATGCTTTCAAAGCTCTGGTATAGATTTCTTATATTGCATAAAAAAATTTTGAAAAGTTATTGCCGCATTAAATGTTTTTTTTCTTGTGATTGGTTTCCAAAACACTGAATCGTCATCATTTTAATCATAAATCAAATTTTTAACGAAACTATTAACAACTTTTTCAAAGATTTTATTAATTAATTGCTAATTTATCTATAAATTAATTACAATTACCACAAAATAAATATATCTACTAGTTCAGTTTTGCCACGCTTAGCCCGACCAATCCGTTCACTACTTAATCAATGCATAATTTAGTGTGAAAATAGATAGTTAGAATATTGCATGATTCAAACAACTTATTTACAAAGGTACACTAAAAAAAAAGAGAGAAAAAAAATAACTACTAATTACGAAATTTAGTAACTGCTCGCTATTTATCAATGAAGAAAAAATAAACTAATGCTCTTTATTTAGAACATCAATTCTTATAGTCAATTAAAATCTCCCAAACAAAGAAATTAAGATCGAATTATAATCTCAATATCACATTTTTAATTTTATAAGACTATAATTCTAATTCGATCTCAATTTAATCTAACCAAGGAATAATTTTTCACAAGTATTCTCTCGGTCCCAAAGTTATTGTCCAGTTTGTAATTTCTATCGTAGTACAATTTGAACTAAAAATAAAAATCTAAACTGGACAATAATTTTAAGACAGAGCGAATATAAGACCTGGATTTTAAAGACCTGATAATCAAGTAGTAAATCTCTTAACTATTATTCAAAACTATTTTTTTTCCCTTTAGAAACATATCCTATATATGTTCTAAAATATATACAAATTAAACAATAATTTCTTGACGGTTGAAAGATTTATAACCAAAATAATTATACACACTCTATTACATACGAAAATTTATATGGTGAATAAGGTTCAGCATTCTTGGTACACTTGTCTTATTAATACAATCTAATTATAGAATAAAAATTAATTAAATAGCCATTACATTGCTCCATTCTCTCAACATTCAATTCTTTTATCCTATTTTCAAACTCAAAAGAATTAATGTTCTAAGTCATAATTACTAATGTAAACTGATAATTGGAAACAATTTAAATTTACTCACAAGTCATGAAATCTTGATATTTTATGTTATGAAAAAGATGATTCACAATCATGAATTTCTCAATAGGTTTATATGAATTTCTAAATAATTTATTACTATTTTTTTTGGCATGAAAATTCGCATAATTTTCATGAACACTATTTTACATGAGTATGAATATAGTTTTTACGTTTTTTATTTAGGATTAATCTTATCAGTGTCATGAAAACTTGTGAAATTTGTAATATGAAAAATGAGATTAGCATTTATGAATATTCTCTGCAATGAGTATGAACCTTTATATTTTACAAGCTCACAAAGTTAATTTATTCATACTTTCCAATTTTTATGAACATTTCATATCATTTTTATGAATAGTCCAATATGTGTGTGAACATCATATTAATCATCATAAATTTTCATTTGTGATTTTTTTTCAAAGTAATGAAATTTAGATATACATGACATGAATAACATAGTTCTCAATAATGAATTTCCTATGACGTGAGTATGAACATTTGATATTTTAAAAAACAAGACATGGTTAATCTTATTTTATTTGTTTGAACAATTCAATAATCTTTTAGGAATATTGTATAATATGAGTATGAATATAAAATTAGCAAACCTTTTTTTTTGTTAATTTTATAGTTTTAATTTAATGTCATAAAACTTGAACATATATATGAAATGAACATAAGATGGTTCTGGCATGAAAAAAATTATGGTCATTCATGAATATATGAAAATTGGGATATTGGTTCTTAATATACATTTGAGCATAAATGGGGAGATAATTTCAAAATTAGTGAAATATTACTTTATTTGAATTTGTAAAGATGATATGAAAAAAATAAATAAAGAAAGAGAAATTAATTAATTTATTACTACAATTTAATTCATTGCTCCTTCCTTAATTATTATGTATTAATTAGCCCGTACACCAAGTATAGTAAGAAATGATCACATACACGATATATATTCACTATCCAAGAACTAAATGAAACTGCGAGAAACTTCATTAAGAGTTATAATTGAGGTCATAGATTTATAATTAAAGCCTCGTTATAAAAATGTCCGTAAAGTACTAACCACCCACGCAATATTGTTCCTTTCATAATTCAATCAAATCGGATCTTGAAAAATTTAACAGAGTTATATAATATATATATATATATATATATCCCGTTTAATTTGAGTGAAGATTTGGATTCTTGAGACGATCGGAACAGTAGGACACGTTGTACTGTGGAGGGTATCGGATATATAATACTCCACTACTTTCATTGCTGTGATTACAATGGGCTAATTTTGTTCATATTTGGGTTTTTGAGACAGGAATCAGGATGGGTTTATAATTATAAGCACATAGTATTGTGGTGAGCCTGTCTGAGAGAGTCACGCAAAATTAAAACGATCTTCTCTTACATCCCAATGATTCAACTCTGCTGCACCCACGTCAAATGCCAATGATTTGATTTTGCTTTCTAAAAGTACATTAAAAAGAAAGAATGCCAATGATTGGCTAGTTCCATGTTTTTTATAAGTATTTCAAAGGTTGGTATGGCGGTTTGGCAATCAATTCTTTCACCATACTCTGGGAAACATAAAAAAAAAGGTTAAAAAGGCCTGCAATTAATAACAATGAGTATTGAAAAACTGGAGCACGACTGATTAGAGATATTTGGTCTTGTAAGTTGATGAAAGTCAAGTGCGTACAGTGTTGTTGTATGATTTACTCGTTCAAACTAACTAGGTTTGTTCTTCTACCTTGACAGAATTGCTTCGATGATCGGTTGAACAAGAAGGAATCTCAAACTCAAACTAACTAACTTTATCAAGAGTACTCAACCAAAACACTAAAGCAAAAATATACTTTCTCTTTCTAAAAAAATAATAACCTAAATTGTAATTTGTGATTTTTGCTAAAAACAGTACAAATAAAAAATTATATATAAACTGTTGTTTTTTCTGAGTCCAAAAAAGTAACCTTTTGTATCCTGAAAATTATAACAATAGAAGTTGTGAAACTATCTAGTAAAAATTCAACCAGCGAGACAGGCTACATACATGAAAGAAATTGTCACGATCTTGAGTGAAAATTGTGAAATTAGAAAGATTGGGGAGGGAATCAAGAGTTGAAATCAAGAACAGAGAATTAGGGTTCTTGAAAAAAAGGGGAAAATAGGAAGAACGAAGAAGAAAGGTATTTTCCAATTCTGGAATTTTCTGATTATTCTCATCAATGATACTGTTTTCACTTTCACCCCATATTTATATAGACTGACCCTCTACCTAATATTACATTTTGGTTCCTATACTTCCAATTCTATCTATTACAACCCCGAGATGTGACAATTCCACTCCCCTTAAGAAAGTCTTATCCACAAGACTACTTATTACATGAACTATGCTGCATTACAAAACACTAACAGTCAGCCATACCATCAATAGAAATGAACAGCAACACCAAACAGAGAAGTATTCTATACAAGCAACTCAGTGATCAATCATAACAGCAACTACAAGAACGCATTTGACCTAGAAATCGAATCATAAATGGAATAGCCGCTTAGAGAAGACATTGGACAGAAGAATTGTAATCAATATACCAGTTTTCAGCTTGTTCAGAAATCACCCTATAGTCAGGTCATTCACATCCATAGCTTCACCATCAATTGTCCATAAGATGCTCCCCGAATCTGTATCTTTATCAGCATCTAGTCAACTCGTTATATTGAATTCCCTCATTTTGTAATTCTGATTGTGCTCAGGCTTATAAAGCTCCCCACATCTGTAGCACAATCTATGATTAGTCCTGTACTGAATTTCCTGCGGAACCACTTTCTTCACATAATGGTTTCCAGGTCCTTTGTGGCTAGCAAACTTGGTACTACCATTTCCAAAACCAGTTCCATTAGGATTACTGTTCTCCTTACCCAACTGATTCTCTAAACCAACCTTTTGATCCACATTTCCAACTTTTACACTATTTCCTTGACTTCCATTACCCTTGTCACCACCACTAGGGGGGGTGTAAAGTGCCCAAATGATCATCAGCCGGCACCATATCAGTACTACCTTGCCCAGTTTCAATCAGTTTGGCCCTAAACAGAACATCCAAATTCTGTTCTTGATACAGAGCCACATGATCAAAAGCAGTTGCCAAAGTTCTAGGTTGCCACATTCTCACAGTTGGCTTAATTTCTTCTTTTAAACCACTAACAAAGCAAGATATATAATATGATTCTTCAAACTGATAGCCCAAGTTGAATAACCTAAAATGAAGCTCCTCAAATTTTTCCTGGTAATCAACAACACTACCAACTTGCATCAACTTACTGAACTCTTCTATACAGTTTTTCCCCCTATAAATACTAAAACGCTGAATTAACAACTCAGAGAATTCAGTCCAAGTGAGTTTACCATGAGTAGACTTGATTCCCTGGAACCAAGTGTCTGCTTTACCATCGAGGAACAATTTCACCGCATCAACTTTTTCGATTTCTGAAACCCTGTGCAGCAAGAAATACTTTCGGCATTTCCTCAACCAGTCTTGGGGGTTGTTGCCTTCGAAGACCGGCAAATCCAGGCTGTCGATACCACTGGTAATTTGGGTGACCTCCATGTGCATTGCAACCTGATTGACCTCCAAAAACCAGCTTATTGGCGCGTGGATCTGTTTTTCTCCTTTCACGCACAGTGTTGACATAAGTGAACATTGATGGAACCGAATCTCTCTTCACCGAACTTGAATTGACTTCTGTAGTTAAGACCCTTTTGTCTGATGATGAACTGAGCGGAACCCTCGGTGGATTTGGAGCGATTGCAATGATCGGCGGCCTCTGATCGGCTGGAATCCCCTAAATAATTGGAGCCTTCTCTGGATTGCGATTTTCCGGAGCCTTAATCGGTTCTAACAACTTTTTCTCCAAATCTTGCCGGAATCGAGCGTCTCTTTCTTTGCGTTTCTTGTTAGATCTTGCTTCGAAATCTTCAAAGAATCTGACTATCCTCTCTGTAAACGCCACAAATCCACTGGTCACCTTGGCGTCCTGCTCCGAAGCCTTCGATTCGATGTTGGCATCAAGATCCCGGGATCGTTCTTCTAGGGTTTCCAATCAGACGGTCAATTCATCAACGGGAAGTGATAATTCCTTAGCCAATTCACTATAGGAACTCTTAGACCTCGTCATTTCTAAAAATCACTACCGAAAGATTTCAATTTTGGTGCGAATCGGAGAATGAAGAACTTCGGACAGAATTCTGAATTTAAAGCGGAAGAGAAGTAGACGAATAGAAATAGTCTAAGGAAATGACTGCTCTGATACCAATTGTCACGATCTTGAGTGGAAATCGTGAAATTAGAAAGAATTGGGGAGAGAATCAAGAGTTGAAATCAAGAACAGAGAATTAGGGTTCTTGAAAAAAAGGGGAAAATAGGAAGAACGAAGAAGAAAGGTATTTTCCAATTCTGGAATTTTCTGATTATTCTCATCAATGATACTGTTTTCACTTTGACCAAGATTTATATAGTCTGACCCTCTGCCTAATATTACATTTTGGTCCCTATACTTCCAATCCTATCTATTACAACCTTGAGATATGACAGAAATCACTAATGTATTTTTACGAACTTACTGAATACTCTTTCCGTCCCGAAATTATTGCCCAATTTCGATTTAATTTCATTTTTAATATAAATTATACTAAACGTGAAAATCCAAACTGGACAATAATGTTAAGACAGAGGGAGTAATGTTTATTATTTCGTATTCTCAAGTGTAATCTTTGCCATTTTTCATAATCACAAGTGTTGTACCTATGCGTTGCACGGCGGGGATCAATCTTATTCTTTGAAATATTTTATTGCTGTAAAGTCTATAGAAAAAATTTACATATTTATATGAATAATGATTCAATTTAGATACTGTTTATTATAGGTACAAAACAATATATGTGAAATAAAAATTCGATGGTTGCCTAAAACAGGAAATAAATAAAATCACACAAGTTATGATCTTATTTTAAAAAGAAAGTGAAAAAAACAATGGTAATAAAAGTAATCACAACAACATTATATGTTCTCAAGGACTTCCTTGCATCGTCAGAATGCAGAATTCATCATTCTTGTTACAAAGAAGGGTTTTAAGACCTTTTCTAGACCTCACGAAAAACGTATAGCTGATCATGCGTAAAGACGGAAGACGCAAAAACGGTACTACCTACGAGAGCGATTGTCTGATGCTTTAATTGATTGTCATCGCAAAATATGCATACATATGTTAGAAAATTCCATAATTAACTATGCAAAATGAAAATAAGAATGAATCTGGGAAATAGATTATTTACCTACGACTTTTTGACCGTTGCAGTTTTTTAATTCTATACCTCAAAGAAAAGATCTTTATTTGTGTAACAGAAACGAAAACGAAAAAAAGACCTTTACAATGTCTTCCTCCAACATGTAAAACTCGACGATTAAATCTATATTTTTGAACTTTTCAGACCACATCCTCCAACGGCGGGAGCTGATGATGAGAATTCTGCTGAGGGACGGAGTCAGAAGAAGTCTCAATGACGTCGACCTTCCTACGACTTGACGTCAACACGGCGGAGACGACCCAAATGCTTCCTTTCAAAACTCTTATGCTTCCGATCGACGACGTCAATGCATACAGCCACCAACCACCGAACTCCCCCGCCACCGCAACCACCACATCACGCCGCCGTTGTATGGGCCCGAGGATTAGCTCCGGCACCAAAATCAGGATATCCACCTCGTCCCTCAATTTGAACCACCAAAGTGCCCCAAAGGTCAAAGCCACACAAACTCTCTCCGCCACCGCCACCAACCGATGTCCGCCACCTCCTCTGCCGCCGCCGACGGCGTCTTCCACGACGGGTTTGACAACGTACTTTGACCAGAACGACATGGTTTCGAGTAGGCCCACGAACAGCAATGCTCTGGCAGTGAACACGTAGACATCGTTAGAACTCGCCTCCGCGATAACGGAGACGGTAATCCCGGCGGATCTGCTCCATTCGGTGCCAACTCCGACGTATACTTGGAACATGAAAATGAGAAACCATGCAGCGTATATCTTAGCTGCCCGGTGGCGGGCGCCGGAAACCGGTTGTTCCGGAGTCGGAGACCCGCTGTTTAATGGGAACGGGGTGGAGGTCAAGCCGTGGATGAATGCTGCGACGGTAACGACGGCCACGAGGGAGTAGAGAATGATGGACTTACCGTTGTATATTAAGAGTAAAGTAGCAAACACCGGCGGAAATTGATAATAACGGCCGGAACTGTCGACGGAGGAAGGATAGTGGACGGCGGAGAGTCTGGCAAGGAGAAGGAAGGAGAGCGGGAGCGGGAGACTGAGTATGATGGTCGCGAAGATTTGAAAAGGGATTTTCCAGCTCCAACTCCAGGCGCGGTTGTCGTCGCCGCCGCCACAGCGGGCGGCGTTGAGTTGCTTAATAGCGCTAATATCTTCCTCCTCATCATCTTGAATGGTGGATTTTAGAAAGCCCATTTTGGTTTACTACTAAACCAATCTTTTTGATGATTCAAATTTTAGTTCTTCCAATTCTTGGGGAAACAACCAAAAAAGAAGAGAAAATGAAGATCTTTTTTTTTGGACCGAACGAATTAGTGGAAATGAACTTATATATAGAATTAGAAATTAGAAATGGATATATATATATATATATATATATTTGATCTTGTTGCGGTAATCTGGGTTTTGGAACGTTTTGCTATCAAAATCAAAGTAAAGAATATTAAGCAAAAAATCAAAGGGTGTTTACCATGTGGTTAGCTAGTGTGGTAATAATTATTATATTAATCAAACAAACATATATAAAATGGAGGAATGCGTGGAAGATTATTAAACACGATCAACCAAAAGGAAGGAGAAAAAAATGGGAAAAAAAAATCAAATGATTATCTGGCCCTTAAAAAAAAAGACACGAAGTTTTGAAGAATAGTTAAGCAGTTTTCTAATGATTATCAGGCCCTTAAAATCAAATGCAGGTGAGCAGGTCGTATTACAACTTGGGTGAAATGATTCTGTTTTGGTAGCCTTTGAACGTGACAAAGAGAAAATGTAGACAAGTGTACAAAGATGAAATGAATGTGATGCGGGAAAATATTCCTGTCATGTAAATCAATTTTAGAAAAAGCATATGCATCTTTCATTGTTGCATGCAAATTAAGCTGGCCTACTAATTACCATGCATTCCAGAAAACAACCTTAATTGATACTCCTAAACCTCAAAGAAATAGTTCCAAAAAAATTTTAAAAAATGTTTATTTTATTAAACTAAAATAGAGTAACATATATAACAGATTATTTTTCTAAAAAAGAAAAGATAGTACATCCTTCATCCCAAAATGATTATTTAATTTAAAAATTTATGTTAAGAACAAATTATAGTAAAAGTTAAATTTAAAACATGACAATCATTTTAGAGAAAGTACTTATAGTATGATACCCCTGAACTTATGCTAGCATATGGTCATTTGTCCCACATCGGGCTACTGGTAGTGGCAGTGATCAATATATAAGTTCAAGCTGCATGTGCTACTGGTAATTTAGGTTAACCATTTTGGGTGTAGCGAGGACGAACACCCAAATAGTTATCGGGCTAGACCTAGTAGCTGGGGCGTTAAAATTGGTGTCAGAACCGACCTCGTCCGGATGCGGACCCACCTCTGAGCTCACACGTAGGAGACAAATATTGTATGACACCTCATAAGAGGTGTGAGACAAGTGAAACTCATATGTTTTAGGGGAGTTTGGGCCGACTATACGTGCTGGTACTGTGTGTTGTATTGTGTGTCTGTGTGAATTGGGCCTTGCAGGGACGCAAGAAACCAAAGGGGGACGAGTGTGATATCCCCAAACTTAAGCTAGCATGTGGTCATTTGTCCATATCAGCTACGGGTGGTGGCAGTGATCAATATATAAGCTTAATCTGCATGTTCTACTGGTAACTTGCATAAACTATTTTGGGTACAGCGAGGACGAACACCCAAATAGTTATCGGGCCAGACTTAGGAGCTGGGGCGTTACATATAGCACTTTTCTTGTCTTCATTTGATGAGAGCTTATAGCACGAGTTCCTCCTCTACAGATAAAGAATTAACAAAAAGTACATAATTTACTTAGTTAAAATTTGGTAACTAAAATTATTAAAAGAAATGTATAAGAAGACTTCGTTCTCAGCCCCTCACCTCCAAACCCACTGGGGCTGAGATGCAAGGTAGAACCACCAAGAATTCTAAGCCTTGTTCGTCCAATCTCTTATTTTACTTTTTTTGTCTTATTTTACCTCTTAAATATAAAATCCAATGCATTATACAAACAACATTTTAATTTACTTTTTGAAATGTTGCGTTTGGTCATTACACTATCGTAAAGTTTTCATTTTGGTCATTGAACTATTGTAAAGACTTTATTGTGTTTGGTCACTGAACTATCGTAAAGTCTTACGTTTAGTCACTGAAGTATTGTAAAGTCTTGTGTTTGGTCATTATACTATTGTAAAGTCTTATTTTAGTCACTGAACTATTTTAATTTCATAAATGGTCACTATACTATAACATTTTTTCAAATTAAAAACTAAACTACATTTTAAATCTCCTCCCAAATCCAAATAAAAACTAAAATAAAACGCTATCCAAACAAGCATTTAGCCTTCTTGATTGGGGTTTGCGGGTATCTTCTGAAATGATTGACGAAATTTTAACATGTTTTCCTTGACAAAAAAAAAATGTTTCAACATCTCGTAGCTTATCTAGACAAGAACGCGCAAAGAAAATTATGAGAAGTTGGTATTTGACAAGCTTGATTATGAAAGGAGAGAGTATTGTTTGGGGTTCTCTTAGTTTAGGTAATTAAGTTAATTGCATGATTCCGCTTCCATGTAGATCAGATCCTTCAGAAACCTATCTCATCTGTTATAAAATAATGGCCGTGCATGCATACATTGATATAGTCATATAGGTGCTTTATTAACAATAATATACAAATTAAGTAATCATATTTTGACAGCTGAGAGTGTTACGTGTTTAATTTATTAAAAAATAATATACAAATTAAGTAATCATTTTTTTGACAGTTGAGAGTGTTACGAGTGTTACGAAGAAAATAATTTTACACTCTATATATCACATGCACAGTATATATTCACTATCCAACAACTAAATGAAACTGCGAGAAACCTAGCAAAAATTTATAATTAAGATAATATTTTTACAATTAAAGCCCTGTCATATGGTAACCACCCATGCAATTGTTCTTTAATTTTCACAATTCAATCAAATCTGATCTTGATCAATTTAACAGAGAAATTAAAAAAAAAAAAAATACCATTTAGTTAGAATGACTATGTATTCATTTAAAATGACTTTAGTTCTCATAGTACCCAAAAAAAAGACTTTAGTTCTTGAGACAATCAGAACGGTTGAACACTAATCAAAGGAGTGGTCGTGGAGTGGTAAAAACTCCTTCATCCTTATTCCTTAATCATTCGAATCTCGTCATCGCACAAAACAATTTTAAATTCTTTAACCATCTCTTTTATCGATCAAGGTTCCTACAATGAATGAGAGAAATCCCTTTTACCCTATTAAAGCAGAATACAGGATGTTGATGTGGCAACTTCTTATTAAAAATTTTTGGCTCCAAATGCACCATATTGTATTAACCATTCTGCCACGTGTCATCACTTTTTAAAAGAAAAAAAAAATTCTTATCCAGAAAAACAAAAGCTACTTTACAAAAATAGCTACACAATTTTAACTCCTAACATTTATCATTTATCAATCAAATTAAAATAGTATTTAAATTTGTCCATAAACTTATCCTCTTTATTACTCCATATTCTTTTGTATGATTTCTGAATCGTTGTACTTTTCAATATTTTTTCTCCTTTGGCAGATGATTTTTTTATTTTTATAATTATTTTTTGCTAAAAAGGAAAAAACAAAAACAAATGTGTAGCTATTTTATTTTTTTCCAAATCAAGAATTCATTTATCTATTAACATAAAATTAAAGTAGAGGGGCGCCCAGGCAGAGTTAATCATTATTGTCAATGATGAACACCATACAATATGAGAAAAGAAAAAAGAAAAAAAAAAAAAGAAGGAACAGTTAGACACTTGGATTGTTGAGTCCTTGAGTATTACATGTAGTCCACCACTTTCATTAGTGTAATTAGTATGGGCTAATTTTGTTCATAGTTGGACTTTCCACCAAGACAAGATGGGTTTATAAGTACAAAGTATGATTATGAGCCTATCTGAATGAGTCACGCAAACTAAAATGATCTTCTCTCACATCCCAATGATTAAACTCCTGCTGCATTTACGTCAAATGCCAGCGATTTGATTTTGTTTTTTAAAAGTATATTAAAAGAATGCCAATGATTGGTTAGTTCCATGTTTTATAAGTACTTCAAAGGTTGGTATGGCGGTTTTGTCAATCTACTATTTCACCATACACACTGGAAAAACTTAAATAAAAGTTAAAAAAAGACCAGAAAACCATAACGATGTATATTGAAAAACTGGAAGCACAGCTGATTAGAGACATTTGGTACGGATAATTAATGATAAAAGAAAGTCAACTGCGTGGAGTACTGTTGTTGTATGATTTACTGGTTCGAACTAGTTAGGTTTGTTCTTCTACTTTGGTAGTTGCTTCTATGATCGATTGAACAAGAAGGAATCTCAAACTCAAACTACGTAACTAACTCGATCTGGAGAACTCAACCGAAACACAAGCAAAAAAATACACTTCCTCTCCCTTTATCTTAACCTGTGATTTGTCTTAAAAACGATATAAATAAAAAATTACACTATGAATAATTTGTTTTCTTGAGCTAAAAAGAGTAACCTTTTGTCTTCCGAAAATAATAACGACAGGAATTGTGAAACTATCGAGTAAAATTTATACCAACGAGACATGCGACATAAATGAAAGGAATCACTAATTTATTTTTACAAACTTACTGAATAATGTTTATTATTTCGTATTCTCAACTCTCAAGTGTAGTCGGTCTTTGCCATTTTTCATAATCGTTTGAATGTAATATGCGTACATATGTGAGAAAATTCTACTCAACGATGACAAATGAAGAGAAAAAGGAATCTAGCTGGAAGATTAAACTATTTACCTAAGATTTTTTTACCGTTGCAGTTTTTAATTCTATCCCAAAGAAAAAACCTTTACTTGTGTAAGAGAAAAGAAAAAGAAAAAGAAAAAAGACCTTTACAATAATTTCCTCCTTCAACATATAAACTCGAATAAATCTATATTTTTGAACGTTAGACCACGTCCTCTAGTGGCGGGTACTGATCTGAGACGGAGTCAGAAGAAGTCTCAATGACGTCGACCTTCCTACAACTTGACGTCAACACGGCGGAGACGACCCAAATGATTCCTTTCAAAACTCTCATGGTTCCGATCGACACCGTCAATGCATACAACCACCAACCGTCGAACTCCTCCGCCACCGCAACAACCACATCCCGCCGTCGTTGAAGGCTGAGGATCAGCTCCGGCACCAATATCAGCGCATCCACCTCGTCCCTCAATTTGAAACACCAAACAGCCCCTAAGCTCAAAGCCACACCAACCCTCTCCGCCACATTCACTACCCGATCACCGCCGCCGCCCCCGCCGACGGTGTCTACCACCACGGGTTTGACAACGTACTTTGACCAGAACGACATGGTTTCGTGTAGGCCCACGAACAACAATGCTCTGGCAATCATGAAATAGATATCGTTAGAACTTGCTTCGGCTATAAAAGAGGCGTTAATCCCGGCGGATATGCTCCATTCCGTGCCAACTCCGACGTATACTTGGAAAATGAAAATGAGAAACCATGCAACATATAGCTTAGAGGTGACGTGGCGGACGCCGGGAACGGGTTCTTCGGGGGACCCAGTGTTTAACAGGAACCGGATGGAGTTCAAGCCGTGGATGAATGCTGCGACAGTAACGACGGCCACGAGGGAGTAGAGAATGATGGACTTACCGTTGTATATTAAGAGCAAAGTGGCAAACACCGGCGGAAATTGATAATAACGGCCGGAATTGTCGACGGAGGAGAGATAGTGGGCGGCGGAGAGTCTGGCAAGGAGGAGGAAGGAGAGCGGCAGGAGGAGACCGAGTATGACGGTGGCGGAGACTTGAAAAGGGATTTTCCAGCTCCAACTCCGGCCCCGGTTGTCACCGCCGCCGAAGCTGGCGGCGTTGAGTCGCTTAATAACGCTAATATCTTCCAACTCATCATCTTGAATGGTGGATTTCAAAAAGGCCATTTTGGTTTACTACTAAACTAAATTTTTGATAAGTCAAAATTTAATTCTACCAATTTTTGGGGAAACAACCAAAAAAGAAGAGAAAATGAGAAAAAAAAAAAGGGGGAAGGAATATTGCTAGCTAGGTAGCAAACAAACTTCAATTTAGTTAATCCCAAACAAATTAATGGAAATGAACTTATATAGTTATTAGAGATGGATAGATATATTTGATCTAATTTGGTAATCAGGGTCTGGACCGTTTTGCTATCAAAATCAAAGTGATAGAATAATTAAGTTAAATCAAAGGGAATATTGTGAGTGGTTACCTTGTCCATTTTCTTGATTAACTAGTTAGCTAGTTTTGGTAATTTTATTCACTTCCTCAAAGAAATTTGATGACTACTAATTAGCTTCCTGAGGTTCGTAGAAATCACTAAAAACTCCCATTGACCAGACAAGGCAACTCACACCCACTTCTCTTGTTTAGTCAGACGTGCCCTCAACCAATGAATAGAAATACTAAATGATTGTCACAAGTATAAATTTTCAGAAAAATGAATGATCTTTCCCTGTATCTTCAAATGTAAAAATCATCAGATATAATGAATTTTATTTTGTGTTCCACGAATATATTTACTCGCAGTTAACTTGATATATAGTCCTATTGGCCAAGAGGAGTGCTGGTAATTTTTAAAAATTTTAGGAACCAATTAATCGTCTTTCTGCACAGAACTCAAACGATATTGACATCATTTATCATGAACAAATTGTTTTAATTATATTGGGATACTTATGGCATTGATGAAATATATAAATATTACTTCTTCTTCTTTTCTTTTTTTGCAAGTTCATTTGGTAGGGGAAGCATTTTCAACGGGGTTGCTGCTGTGGATGTTTTCAGACTTACATATATAAAAGGGAGGAATGCGTGTAAGATTATTAAATATGACAAAGGATAATGTCAAAGCTGAATGATGCAACTAACTTAACTAAGACAATCTCAAACAATAATGCACCCCAAAAAAAACAAAACAAAAAAAGAAATTGGTTTCAGGAACCTTCTTTTTTTTTTTCTTTTTTTTTTTTAGAGAAAAGGTCTCAGGAACTTCGATCGCAAGGTTTCCAGTCTTAGCAAGTACTCCCTCCGGTCGTTATTATAAAATTTTTTATTTGTCCTAAATTTCACTTATAATGTCTTTTTAATTGATATAAAAATCTCAAAAACATTTTCTAATAATTAGGAGAATATAACGAATGTGAAAATATATTTTTAAATTTTTTTTTATCCAATTAAAATACATTTTAAGTAAAACTTAAGAAAAAATCAAAATATCTTATAATAAAGACCGGATGGAGGGACTACTATATATAATTAATGAAGCCTTCATTTTATAGGATTCAGAAGGAATATCCCGTCACATTTGGAGCATCCATAGCAATTGTACAACTGAATTTTAGATTTTGGATATTACACAGTTTGTAATTCATCTATTTTTTGTATGTTTTAGTGGTTAGTACTTTGTGCATGCATATAACCTTGTACTTTCCTTTCCATAATTATTATAAAGTTTGGATTTTTATTTCTAATTTAAATTGTATTAAAAAAAAAATTAAAACTAAACAATAATATTGGGACAGAGGAAGTATCTTTATTCTTGACTTGTTGTCTAGTATATATGATGTATTCTGTACAGTTACTTCTTAACAGAATACATACCGTGAATCTAATAGAATATATAGCCATGGTAATGATGGAGACGTTCATAATAGTAATTTTCTTAGAGAAGAACTGGATTATAGACGACTCTTTAAAAGTGGTGCTTACATTAAGCTAAAGAGCCTATATAGCCCATTCAGAAATTTAAAATCCCTTGTCTTACCGGAGGGAGGCCGTTTCGGCGCTGTGTTCAGCTATGAACAACTCCCAATTAAAAAGCCCGAAACAAAAACCCAATCTCTCAAAGTTCCTAAAAAATCACTGTGCAACATATACATGAACACAAATGAATAGATCAGTCTCTTGCAACTTAATCTTCGGCGCTTATTTCAGAGATGAGATCGAGAAACTCTTTTGGTTTTTCTTCTTTTCTGTTTGCTTTATTTTTCATCGTGTCAACCGGTTCCTTTACAACTTTTACATAATATAAGTAATTGAAAACAAATGAGAGACACGTGTTGGCATAGTGTCACAGTAAGTGGCACGGAGATTCTCACCGAACGGTATGATTGTTTGACAAGTGTCTATGGGTATAATTCTCTTTCAAATTTTTGTTGTTCTGAAGGCATCTATAATGGTAAGTTTATGACCGTTTATGACTTTTATTCAGGCCGACATGTCAGGTTTTTTTTTTTTTTTTTGGGGGTCTCTGATTTATATTTATAAATTTTATTTGTGGGTCCGAATCACTCTCTCCTTTCTGTTTTTATAATTTATGATTAAAGATGCTCTGAGTATAATTTACTTACAGTAGCACATTTTTCTCACTGATGAGATAGTTCTAAGTCATTGTAACTCTACTGATCACGGCACGAAGCTCTCCTACTCATGACTTTTCCATCTAGCCAATCTCGCCTGAAAATGATAGACCATCATGCATAATTGGTTAATGTTAAAATAAATAAATAAACAGCAAAAAGAAAAAAAAAAAAAGTAGAACTTGGAATATGGATGCCATAAAGCTCTGGTTAAGAGAGTTATCTTTTGAGCACCCCGTAACCAGGCACCCCTTGTTCAACTACCGTTAAAATGAGTCACGAAAAGTGTTTTTGAGCTTTGATGAAAATGACTAAGAAAAAAAATTTGTCCATTTCTAATTTACAAATTTCTTTTCCTCCTTTTAAGTTTTAACCATTTTTAAATAATCTTCTACTTTTTCCAAACTCATTAGACCATTTCCTCTAATGGCTGATGATGACGGAATTGAGAGTCGACGGAGTCAGAATCAGAAGTAGTTTCATCAAAGTCGACGTCATTCCTGGCCGAGGACGTCACCACAGCGGCGACGACGACCCAAACGGCGCCTTTGAACAATCTCATCGTTCCGATCGATACAGTCAAGTAATACAGCCACCAGCCGCTGAACTCCGCCGCCCCGACAACATGCCGTCCTTCTCTCGCGATCAGCTCCGGTACGGCCACCAAGGCTTCCACTTCGTCTCGCAATCTCCACCACCACAAAGCTCCCAAGCTCAATGCCACGCCGATCCTCTCAATCATATCCCAGTTAATTTTACTTCCGTCGCCGTCACCGCCGCCGACGGTGTCCGCCACGACGGGTTTCACCACGTATCTTGACCAGAACGACATCGTTTCGTGAAGGCCCACCAGCAGAAATGCTCTGATGACGGTGGTAATTATGATCAGGAAGTCGTTGATTTTCTCGTCGGCGCCGGCGGCGAATCCGGAGCCGTCAATTCCGGCGCAAATGCTCCCTTCGATTCCAAGTCCGACGCAGACTTGGAACGTGAAAAGGAGTACCCATGCGAGATAGACCTTAATAGCAGTGTTAGGGTGGCGCCGGGAAACGGGCTCCGGCGCCGGCGCCGGAAGCTGGTTGGTTAATAATATCAGCCGAGTGGAGGTCAATCCATGGACAAATGCTGCGGCGGTAATGAGGGAGACAAGCGCGTAGAGGAAAATGGACTTACTCTTATACAAGAAGAGAAACGAGGCGATCATTCCCGCCGGAGCAGCTGGATGGTCGGAATTGGATTCATTGCCGGCGATTAGGGAGAGATAGTGGGCGGCGGATAGCCTTGCGAGGAGTAAAAAGGAAAGTGGGAGGAGTAGACTGAGGAGAATAGTCGTGAAGATTTGAAAAGGGATCCTCCAACTGCAGCTGGCTGATGTAGTTTTGCCGGCTCCACCGCCGCCGTTACCGGCGGTTTTGAGTTGCGTAATATTACTCGAAATCTCTTCATCATCATCGTGATCATAAGTAGATTTCAAGAATGCCATTTTAGTTAACTATGGACTAAATTTTGACACCAAAAAATAAGAGGTAAGGAAACAAACAAATGGTTAAATTGATTAAATTCCCGAAACAATTAAATTGAAACGTAGATATTTATAGTTAGGTTTATTGTGACATCAAAATCGAAGATGACTAGCAAAGATTAAACAAATTAGAAGGAATATTAGAGTGGTTACCACGACTAACTTCGATTCATTCGTAGTGGTATTCCATTCAAAATTTCATGTGTGCATACATGAAATAATAATATTCTTGCAATAAGTTTTAATTTGATTTTACTTATCTAACTACTCATCTAGTGGTGATATTTATTCATTAATTATACATAATGATAGTACTACTGCTACTATTATCATTTTATTATTATGGAGAGCCAATTGGGAAGTTGTCAACGGGGGGTGCTGGCTTTTGATGTAGGCTTTGACATTTGTATTAAAACTTGGGAAAGTGATCCGAAACTATGAGCCAAAAACTAATCATAGTGTTAAGGTGGAGATGGTTCATGCCTTGACGGCCATAACTTATTCGAGAGGGTAGTTAAGTACTCACCCTTTCCTAAAACTATTTTCCAGTTTGAGATTTCATTTATACTCCCTCTGTCCCGAAATTATTGTCCAATTTGAGATTTTATTTTTAGTACAATTTGAACTAAAAATGAAAATACAAACTGGACAATAATTATGGACGGAGAGAGTAATACAATTTGAACTAGAAATGAAAATCCAAACTGGACAATAATTATGGGACGGATGGAAACGACATTGCCTGTTGTAATGTTATTTATAAGATTATTTCTAAAGTATTATGTAATAGATTGAAACATGTAATGCCTATACTAGTGGATGAGAATCAAAATGCCTTTGTTAAGGATAGGCTTATTCTACATAATATTTGATTACTCAGGAACTAGTTAGGTTATATAGGCGAAAGGGAGTTAGTGGAAGGATGTTAATGAAAATAGACTTAAAAAAGGCGTATGACTCAGTAGAGTGGGATTTCATTGAAGAAATGTTGTTAGGATTTGGATTTCTAGAATTGTTTAGAGTCTGGATAATGGAATGTGTAAAAACAGTTTCTTTCTCGCTATTGCTGAATGGGTTTATTGTTAAATTTTTTTCCTGAGAGGCGAGGATTGAGACAAGGGGACCCCATATCCCCTTTAATCTTCGTTTTAGTTATGGAATACTTGTCTCGGAGTTTGAAAGGGGTGGCAAATGAAATACTTAAGTTCCATTCTAAGTGTAAGGAGATGAAAATGACTAATATTTGCTTTGCAGATGATCTCATGATCTTCTGCAAAGTACATGTCCCCGCTGTTAAGAGTATTATGACAGTGTTTGATCACTTTTCGAAGGCTTCAGGATTAAAGGCTAATATGCAAAAATCATCAGTCTTTCTTGTTGGGGGAGGATAGAACAGAATATGCAGAATATGATTTGTGTTATTACTCAGTTTTCTTTGGAAACTTTTCTTATGAAATACTTAAGAGTTTCGTTGTCACCTAAGAAATGGTTCCAGGTGGAATGCCAACATATAATTAATCGTATTGTTGTTAGGATCAAGTGTTGGAACACACGCCATTTATCTCTGTATTGATGGCGATGCACTCCTATTGAGGTTCTGCTGCTTTTAATTTACCACAGTTTATTACTAATATGGTTAATCGAATATGTTGGGAGTTTCTATGGGAAAAAAGAGATAGTGGAAGAGTTGTTGCATTGTTTAACTGGGAAGAAGCCTGTAAAGGTAAAATGGAGGGTGGATTGGGGATAAAAGATGCTAAAATGTGGAATAAGACAACACTTATCAAGCAGATCTGGCACCCAACTCTAAAGAAGGATTCTTTGTGGGTTAAGTGGGTGAATGGAGTTTATATAAAGGACAACTCGTTTTGGAAAATCAAACTGAAGGATGAAGTAAGCTGGCAATGGAAACAGTTGTTAAAGTAGCAAAACCAAGTTAAAGATGGCTTTGTTGATAATAAGTGGATCGTAGATCAGAAGGGTATATGTACTGTCAAATCTGGTTACCAATAGCTGATTGGTCAACCGGCAATGTTGAAGTTGGCTTCCTGCATTTGGGTGAACATGCCCAAACATTTATTTATATATTGGTTGGCATGGAAGGAAAGGCTGTTAACCAGGGGAAGATTGCTAGCTATACATATGGTACTGTCAGATGATAGCTGTTTGTTATATAAACGAGACTCAGAAACTGTGAAGCATCTCTTTTTTTAATGTGATTTTGCAAGAGCTGTACTGGACAGAATGACCAGTTGGTTTGGTTGCAAAAGGGTGGCTTCTGATATGGGAAGATGGAACAACAGATGATGTACATGTGGAAAGGGGCTCAAATGAAAAGAAAAGTGTTCGTGGCAGCACTTACAGCTTGCATTTACCATATATGGGAGGAGAGGAATAACAGGTTATTTGGGAAAGTGGATAGGGATCCTGATGCTCTCATGAATCTCATCCAAGCTGAACTAAAGCAGAAGTTCCTATATTGACAGAAGCAGAGAATATCATAGGCTGGTCAAGCAATTTAGCAGCAGTTATTTACTTAGCCTAGCTGTGAATAATTGTTAGGAGTTGTGTAGAACTTGGTAATCACTTGTAGATATGAGTTGTGTAGGCAGTGTGATAGAGTAGCTTGCAGCATGGACTCATATATTTTTCACTAAAAAAAAAAATAAGTACGACATTCTTATTCTCTTAATTTTGATCAAATCTTAGCTTGGTATCTTGTTTAATTAATTGTTTTTACACAAAATAAAGGTTCTATATGATATAATGTACGTAATTGAACCCAAAAAAATACAGTAATTGATAACACTTTTACCATCCAAAAGACTCCATTCCAATATCAAATGAAAATTGGTCTGCGCATAATATATAGAATATACGTACCCACTTAAAACAACTTATGATATCTTTATAAAAGGGTAAGCGAAAGGGTAAACAACTTGGGCTTGAACAATTCGTAACCTGACGAGAAAACAAAAGCAACTTGAGGAATGCGGGAATACAGATCAAATTTCAGGATTATAAAATGATTAAAATCAAAAACGCCTTTGAGATTTAGTTGATTGTTTGAAGAAAAAAAAAATTCTACGTCCGCGAGTCAATCACCAAAAGAGTTCTCCGAGGAGGAACGCATATGAAATTAGTCAGAAAGTGTCAAAAAGATGGATGTACCACCACAATTTTACCATGTAATTTTTTTAGACGCTAATAAGATCAAATATTCACTTTTAAATTTAAATATTTTTCACAAACACCCGAAACTCCGGGGTGAATTTGTGTTTGAAAAAAAAAAAAAGTTGATAGAAAATTTCTTCGGTAGAAACATTTTTTGTTACCTTTTTTCTTCTTCTTTTTTTTTTTTTTTAATTTCATACATCAATTTTTAGTTGCCGGTAGACCCTTTCAGTAAATGACTTGCCATATTTTTTATATAGTTTCAAACAATAAGTGTGTTTTAGATAATCAACTAAATTTAGAGGGTTTTTTAATATTAAGCCTTATAAAATTCTTGCTTGCTGACACAAGTGACTATAATTTAAAGCTAGAACAAGTCTATAATTCCCATGGCCATGATCGAGTCGTGTTACGCAGCTTATTGACTGGTTTATTATGGCTTATGAACTTAATTGGTAGAGAAATCATAATCGCTGCATTGACTAACACTTCGTATCAAATTGTTGAGATTTTAAAACAGGAACGTTTATTTTCTTTAATAGCTATGACTCAGTCTCGAGTCTGTCGTTGCAAGTTACAAGCCAGGTTCATTCTAAACTAAAGATGGGAATGGGATAATGATTTAAATAATCTTTGCTTTCAAGAATAAGTTTTCTTCCAAGATTAGGTTACCATCATCAATGTAATCCACTAAAAAAGCATTGACCATTTATACAAATTTTAGCAAGACAACAACTGGATAATATCTAACCCTAACCATTAGCAAAAAGAGCATGAACCATTTAGACAAACTTTAGCAAGACAAGTTGATAACTGATATCTAAGACGCAAGGATGTTTGAGGCGTGGATGATGAAGCTGTTGATGTTGTTGATACTTTTAAGCTTTCAGGTTGGTATTCTCTCTTGGTATATAACTGAAGTTTCCCCCACCACCGGTAAGGCAGTGGTATGAAATAGAGAGTTTCAAGAAGCAATTCGTCGCATTCATCAAGAAATATATCAAGAACCCTCTAATGGCAACACGATTGAATCTTTTTATATATGGGCCTCGGAGAAATATGATACGTTTTGGGTCACATTATCAATCGATACTTTTGATGATACTTTCATGTCACCGTGTATCAACAATGAAAACTGGTCACGTCAATTTTTCATTCTGTAAACTCGTCATTTTTTTAAAAGTGGACTAGTTTCAAAGGGGTATTTTCACGTCACCTTTTGTTCTTAAGCTATTCATACAGGCCATGTCAATATTACATTACCACAATAAAATCCCTTTCTATTGTCCCTCAAATGAACCTTGCCTCTCAGGCCAAAACAATCGATAGTTAATATCCTTTGTAGGCAGCTTTTGAGAGAGATCAGAAAGTGAGATGTGTATTACTTTAACACATAGTCCTCAACTTGGTGGTCTTAACCTTCATTTGGAACCCGCAAAAAATAGGCAATTGACAGAAAATAAGCAAGCAATATTTATCCCTATCCTCTACAAATGGTGAAGAGAATGCCAACCAAAACTTTTGCAGCCATAAATGGAGGCAGAAGAAGAAAACAGTCCACTATACTGTCTATCTTATAAAGTGCAAATAATTTAAAGAGAAACATACACAACAATTTCGTCATTGATCCGCAGTAGCTGCCAATGGCTGGAGAGCTTTCAAGGGATTCATGATAACGCCATCTATTAACCCGTATTCCTTCGCTTCTTTGGCGCTCATGAAGAAATCGCGGTCCGTGTCTTGGTTAATCTTCTCCAGGCTCTGACCAGTGTGGTATGCCAAGTATCCATTCAAATTGGCCTTGTGATGCAACATTTCATTAGCCTGAGCAGCAATTGGAAAGTGGGGTTAAAACACAGGAAAACAATGGTCACAGCAGTTTCTCCTCAACTCTGTTATACTAGCAAAGACCCATGCGACTGTCAGCAAAAGGGTATTACGGGAGATCTCTGGGTAAAGGCAAATTAAAAAGGCACTTACGCAATAGAAATACCTAGTATCTATGGTTCTCAGCTGAGAAGATACAACTAAATGTATACTAGCTGTGTTACAGCTTAGTTCATGCTCGGATATTACCACAACTTTCAGAGATATCCAACAAAACCATGCCAAAGATTCTATGTTTGGACGAGGAAGACCTATTATAACTTTTATATATGCGCTCATAGAAAATAAGAAAGCAAATACTCTTCCTAACAAGAACAGTTGATATTCTTTCCAAAGACACGTCAAGAAAAGCCATATCTCCTACTTCAAAATTCGAGAAACATATTAGTTCATCACCTGAATATCGATGTCAGTCTGACCACCTTGAGCTCCACCAAGAGGTTGATGGATCATTATCCTTGAATTTGGAAGGCTATATCGTTTTCCTACAGTGTAATAAAACATCCACAATTATAAGCCTCTTGGTGAACAAGTGATGTCAAGGGTATAAATTACAACTGATTACAGAATGCCAACCTTTAGTGCCAGCACTCAGCAGAAAAGCTCCCATACTGTAAATGGCAAAAAGAAAAGAATGCTCTTTAGATAACCACTATCATCTGATGAAGAAAAAGCTATAAATACTTGCATGGAGTAAATTTTATTTCATTTCATTGGTAACCCAGTCCACATTGGTAAATCTCATGATTCTAGCTTAAATTTTTTAATCCATGCTTCAAATCTTTTTCAGAGAGAAGGTATAAAAATAAAAAATTGAAGATAGAAGCAATATAGGAGATTGAATAGAAGCACGATTCTTGTCTACGAAATGAGCTTGGCAGGTCTAAATCACAATCAACCCCAGCATCACCTAAAGGGCGATGAAACCTAAACCAAGACATCCTTTCCCCCATAATATAGACAAGACGCAAAAAAGAGCAAATTCATTAGCATCACCTAAAGGGCGACGAAACCTAAACCAAGACATCCTTCCCCCATCATATAGACGAGACACAAAAAAGAGCAAATTCATTATTGAAGAGACTATGGTTTAGGCCAACTGCTTTATTTTATTACCCTTACAAAAATTATCATATCTATTCAAAACATATTGTGAAACGGAGAGCATTTCCTTCAGCTACAAGCAACAAATTTAGAAGCCTGTGTCGATTGTGTCAATCAATACTCACCTTGCGGCTAGTCCAACACATACAGTGGAAACATCAGGCCGAATATGCCTCATCGTATCAAAAATTGCCATACCTAATAAAAGTTGTGTAAGCAAAAGAAATTAATGGCCACCAAGGAACAAAATTGAACTCAGATGAAAACATTAGAAAAAGACATTACCAGCAGTGACAGATCCTCCAGGAGAATTAACATACATGACAATATCCTGTTCAAAAGATTGAAGTACATTTAGTATTTAAGTTCGCATATAACAAATATGGTTTTTGACCAGTGCAAAAGGTGAATACTTAATTTTCCAGACTAAATGCCAGAATTCTCAATATGCATAGCAAGCAAAGATATAGCTACTCAAAACGAATGTAAACAGTTAGAGCTTGTCATTGCAAGATTGGCTACAAAAACAATCAAGCTTTTAAGTGACTATGTGAAGATGGCTGCCGCCAGCATCCTGCTCTATCATAAAGGAGGGGGAGAATGCATTCTCTACATTGCAGGGCATAAAAGGGTAAACACTAAGCATATCACATGTCTGCACTCTGTAGCAACCATTGCAAACTGATGAACTATCAAACCATCAATTTAGGAGGTGTACCTTTTCAGGATCGACAGCATCAAGATAAAGGAGTTGAGCAACAATAATGTTGGCCATATCATCATCTACCGCCCCACCACAGCGAATGATTCTCTAGATTTTAGAAAAAAATGTTAGCAAGGTCACAAGAGAAAATCAATACAGGCGGAATAGAGTAGGGAAAGCTGCGTACATATTGGAAGAGCTGACTAATAACACTCTGGAACCGCTCTGCCACCATGGGTGGTGGACCTTGTGCTCCCTGAGCATAGGCAGGGAAGTAGGGCGATGATGGAACTTGCAAATCTTCCCTAATTGTTTTAGACAAACCAATCCAGGAATGAGATTTCGCTTCGATAATAGCTCCAGCAAATTGTAACTAGGAATCAACCTATAACTTCTAACAAATATACATCTTCTATTAATCACTAAAATAATTACTCATACTACAAGACACCAGATAAATTCTTCTATATATTCGAGTTTTAAACTCTTCATCTTCAAATTCCTAACAAAAATACTAAAGCTCACCAACTCTACAAAACAACCTGAGTGGTAAATGTTAAGAGAAGTAAAAAAAGGACAGTGAATTACCTAATGGACCAAATACCCTCCCGAGAACTGGCAGCCGACGGCCAAGACTCAGGGGCAGAGTAGACGGCCTTGACTGGAACAGCCCGGAGTTTGTTCAGATTAGGGTTTATCTTCTTTAATTTCCTGAAACAAATTTACATTTTTGTCAGTCGAAAACCCAACACAAAGGGGGAAAACTTCTTAACCTAGCCTAAATAAACATTTTAACCTAATATTTATAAACATGAAGAGCAGAAATGTTAACTAGAAGTCATAAAAACTGAAGAAAAACTGCGAAATTGAATTTGAATTGGTACCTCATGGGAAGATGGTAATAACAAGAAGATTTAGGGTTAAGTGTTTTAGAGTTCGGGGAAGAGAAGACCACGGCCGGTGACGTAGCGGAAAAACTAGTCGATAGAGCCATAATTAGATAGAGAGAGAGAGAGAGAGAGAGAGAGAGAGAGCGGTGGTGGTGGTGGTCGGCGGTGGCGGAAGACGGCAGCGGCTTATCCAAAAATTTGATATTTTTTTGGGTTTATAGGAAAGTAGAAAAGGCACGCTACTATCCAGCTGAAGAGAAAGAGCTCAGTAGAGCTCAGCAAGAAAACAAAAGTGCACTCGAAGATTCTACTCCTTTTGTTCCAAGCCAATAAATAAATTATCAATTTAATGATTTATCACAGCTAAAAATTCTTCATTTCCTCTTAACATAATTTAGATGTTTTTGCTAACCAGAATAATTATAAAAATAAATTTAGATTTTTCTATAACATGGATTAAGAAACCACTTTTTTTTTTTAATATACTTAGGAAAGGATTATAAAAAGAATAAAATTAGGAGAAGATGATATTTAGAAATAAAATTTGTGAATGAAAAATAGGCGATGGGCAATTTTTATCAATCGTGTTTGAGTTGATATTATTTTTCGTGCTTCATCTTTTAGAATGGTCTCATCTTCAAAAATTTAGTCAATTTTAAAAAAATTCAATCCTAATTATTGACATTTTAATGAAAAAAAGTTAACTACCCGTCTACCCCCATATCCTAAAATTGTTGTCCAATTTGAATTTTTTACTTTTAGTTCAATTTATACTAATAATAATGAAAATTCAAATTAGATAGTAATTTCGGTTACACAATAATTTCGGAACGAATAGAATACTTTGTTTATCTAAAAAGTCATATGAGAGAGTAAGTGCTTTTGTAGGAGATGCCTCTCATACGCCCATGCTTGATTTCTGATACCAATTCTTGCTTTATAATTATAACTAGATGCTTGCTCCGGGCAAATGCTCGGGGGCATCCTCCCACTTAATAAATTAATATGTAAATAATCAAAACTGATTAGGAATGAATTTAATTTTTGATAAAGATAATTGATTGATCGAAAATTAATTTTTTCGAAAGTCCTAAATAAGTGGAGAAGGAAAGTTACATTCACTGTCAAATTCAAAATTTGAATGAACATGGCCATCTGATCTCTTCGTTAATATTGTAAATATATTTTTTGTTTTTAAAAAGAGGTGACATGTGGCAGAATGGTTTATGCAATATGGTGCATTTGGAGCTAAAACCTTTTAATAAGAAATTGCCACATCAGCATCCTGTTTTCTGCTTTAATAGGGTAAAAGGGATATATTTTTTGTTTTTAAAAGGAAGTGACACGTGGCAGAATAGTTTATGCAATATGGTGCATTTGGAGCTAAAACCTTTTAATAAGAAATTGCCACATCAACATGGTAAAAGGGATAATACTAACTAATTAGAAACAATTTAGTTAAGTTAAATTACAAAAAATAAAATAAAACATTTTCTGTTTGAGTTTAGACGCAAAAAGAGAAAAGGAAATTGAGCGTTCATTTGTTTGAAAGATGGACGAAATGTAGAGCTCATCTTTATAAAGTTTTTAAATAGAGAGAATGTAACACAAACATGAAACATGCGGTAACTAGCTTTTTACAATGATAAAGCTTTAATAAAAAATTTTCTTCATTTCCTTTTCTTCTTTTTGCCCCAATCTTTCTTTTTGCCCCAATCTTTCTTGTTTACTGCCATCCAAATATAAGATACTAATGACGTAGCCTCTAAAAACCAAATGCCACATGAAACCCATTAGGGGAAAAATTAAAAAAATAATAATAAAAAAAAAAATCCTATAAATCCACAAAAACGCTCCTGCAATTGTTCTGCTTCAACAAACAGAACGGTTCACAAAAGGGACTCCGTTGTTCAAACAATCGCTGTTTCCACAAAAGAAATTTAAGACTCATAGCAAACAGTCCATTAACGATGAAATCGATCCGAGTTCTACGCCCCAAATACAAGCATCGTCAAAGGCATGTCGTACTGTGCCTAAATCTCAGTAGTAAAAAAGTTAAGAAAGAGACTCGGCCAGAAGCTGCGACTTGACTAGAAAATCACTATGTAGTGTGCACAAAGAAAACTATCACTGCATGCAAAAATGCTTCCTGCAGTGTATGCCTTGTACAGGGGGGGAAAAAAACCTAGTACTCTACCATGCTATGCTATGTATACTACCACCTTGTGAGATAAAATGGATTTTGTGACAAACCCTTCCGTTTATTATGAGAAATCAATGAGAAAGAATAGCAGTTTATGGATATGGGGAGGACATGTATGGAATAATACAATGCTGCTAGTAGGCTGCGTTTGTGGGCATTTCTTCCCTATGGATTGCCTTGTAGCACTGGAGACTGCAAAGAGGAAGCTTTGTCTTTGAATCCCGATACTTGTATGGGTTGTCGCAAGATGGACCAGCACATTTTTCACGTGGTGGAGGATAACTGAAAATTTCAAATCAAATTAAACCTTCTGTTAGCTCATGATACTCCATTAATTCCGAGAGTTTAATCAGGAGGCGAGAACGAAAGAAGGAGAATGTAAAGGGCACAGTCCAAAGTGTAGAAAACTTTCTCCCAACAACTCTAACAAAAGAAAGACCCAAAAAGTATATAACAAGGATGTGTACACCTTAATGCCACCTCAACTTCTTCCTTTTTTTCTTTCTTCAATTCAATGTCCATTTAAAGGACCGAAGTAAAAGGGAATCACTGGTCAGCCTAGAAAGGAACCTTACCTGCTAGGTTTAGGGTCAAATAGTTTAGGCAAGCCCATTTCCTCAGGGAATGTGATAAAAGTTCCAGTAGGGCTCATGACCCATCTAATGGTGTTTGCAGCATTCAGTTGAGCATTTGAAGCCTTCTCCTGTAAACAATAGTACAATATGAATATCTTCTCTCAAATGTTCGTCAAAGCTGTGATATATACATGTAAACACCAAGCTCATTAGCTACCTGAGCGAGTTCCTCTTGCCGCTTCTTCAATTTATCTTCTCTCTTCTTCCTACTTGAATCTTGACCGAGTATCCTTTTAACTGCCTCCTCCTACACAAGATTCAACAAATGCCATCAAATGATCTACACATAAAAAATGCTAGAGAACCAAGCAACTCTACCATGAAAGTAGACCAAACAAGCAAACCTGTGCTTCCCTAGCTGCTTTCTCATTTTGCAGCCGTCGTCTCTGAGCAGCTTCAGCTTTCTTAAGCTGCTGCTCCACCTCTGTAAGTTGCTCTTTTTGCTCTGTAGTAACAAAAAAGAGATAAGCAGACACTAATGAGTAACTGAAATAATCATTAATCTGGGGAAATGAATAGAGACACCATTAAAGAAACTACTAACTTCGTGATGGGGGTGGTGGTAAACCATTTGGAAACTCAATTGGGCTAGCCCCCGATGCGTCTTTGCTTGACAAAAGGGCTCTCTGGCGTGTTGTCAGAGTGATCTCCCTCTTGTTTTCTGTTGGCGAATCTGAGGGATCCCTCAGTTGTTTCCTCTTCTTTGTCCCTCCTCCTGTCTCAGAATCTGACACCATTTCTTGCTCCTCCTCTGCCTCATAATCTGTGTCATCTGAGCCTCTGTCTGATCTGGATCTCTTCTCATCTTTGCTATTAGACCGAACACTTTCTCCCGGGGTTTCATAATTTCCACCCCTAGAGTTTCTCGAAAGATTTCTGGGTCTCTTGGCTGATGATTCGTTGTCTACATCTCTAGAATTTCCCATCTTTGGGTTTCTTAACTTTTCCAGATAACGAATCTCATCATCATCCTCATCTTCATCAAATGCATCATCCAAAATACGCTTTTTAGGAAGCCTCTTGCTCTTACGAACAGAATCCGACCTCTCATCAGGCTTGTCAAAGCCATTCCTTAAACTCATCTTCCTGGATTCCTCCTTACTCGAATGTAATTTGCCTTTTGAGAAATCCTTTAATAGAGCCCCCTGTGTACCTCTCCTTTTATCAGGAAGGGGATCATTCTCGGCAATATCCTGAAATACAAGTCAAAGTAGAACTCCAAGTCATTAATTAAACGGCAGAAATGCAATATCAGGCTCTACAATAAATGCTACAGATATATGACGAAACAAGTTATTCACCAAAATTTCCATATGCGACTATGCCCAATTAAAATATACCACGTGTCCATCAGAAACTTTATTTGAAATGCTAACGAAGATATGATTAAATCAAATAGCATGATATACTATGGTCACACTTCAAAGTTAGAGGCGGAGACCAAGCAACCTTATTCAAAAGAACATAAAACTACAAATGAACAGGGAAAATATTAGAATAAGGCCACCAAGAAAATGCTTTATTCCACTACGAAAATGCTTTATTCCACCAAGAAAATGCTTTATTCCACTATGCGAACTCAAACACAGAACTTGCACATTTTAATGTATGGAACATCAGGAAAGTACAAAAAGAAAATATGAAGTTTTCTTGATTAGACCAAACCTTGATCAAGGAAAACTGATAAAACTCAATATTGATGCAGGCAATACATCTTATGCAGATGCAGATAAATAGATTTCTCAGAAAGGAGTGGAGAGAGACAAACCTGAGTAACCTTCTGTTTTACATGAGGCCCATCCGAAAGTTTAGGAGTTTTTGCATTTGATACAGTAGTCACACTGGATTTCGCTTGAATCATACGAGTTACCCCCCCAACTTTCAGTTTAACTTTTTTAAGCTTGTTCTCATTTCCTTGGCTATCTACAGACATTCCTTGATGCCCTGCCAGTCCGTAGTGCGTAACATTTCCGCCATTTCCATTACTTTGTCCCAAGCCAGTAACACCACCCTCCTTAGTTATCCTTTTATAACTATAAGCATCCTCATCCAAGGGTGTTGAAGGACCTACTCTTGACATATACTGATTAACGTCAACCGTTTTCCCTCTGAAATTGCCATCTCCACTATTGTCATCACTGGACACTTTGCCCGCATCATCTGAAACGGGAATGGAGGACAAGGGAGATAAATCATGGTTTTCATTAAACACCAATGGATTAGGTCTAGGCCTTCGTGCTCCCTGGCTCCTCCTCTTCTTCATGGTATTTCCACGACCATCCAATTGAGAACCACCAAGGTCCTCCATCACAACAAGGATATCTCAATCTCAAGCCTAGTAATGTGCCAACCACTTAATTAAATGACTAGGTCTGCAAAAGAAAGCCAAATATTTCACAACAAGATGTAGCATCAGCACTGAGCATTCAGGAAACAAATTAGAGAAAATGGTAGTAATCCACATTTAACTCTCAACAACAGATTCATGAATAAACCGGGACAAAAACATTAACTAAAAAAATCACAGAGCTGTTGAACAAAAATATCATATCCAATAACAGCATTACAAAACTGAACCCTACCGAAACAGTTTTCAAGAGAAAGTTCCGTAAGAAACATACAGAATTCAGGAAAATAACAGCAATTAGAACCAACCGAATCTATTTATCCGAAAGGGCCCCCAAAGAAAAACTCAATTCACAAAAATTAACACTAATGTGAACCCCGCAGAGCATCAAACTGATCAAATTGAGAACTACCATAAACCAAAATCCCCTTTTCATTTGAAACATTCCCGAATCACTTCCCGACGCCAAGAAGAATAATCAACAACTTCAAAAACCCATTAACACAAGAACTCCCATCGTCAATAAAATAAAGCAGGTACCCTAAGTTTCCGCACAGAAAACAAATTCAATACCCAAAAACAACCAATAATACCTTGTAACAGACGAACTCGGATTGAGAACGCTGATTGTGGAGCTAAAATCAAAAGGGTCGGCTGCAAAGCAATGCAGGAATAGACGTAGGTAGATAAATTGACGAAAAGGGAGAAAGTGGAATAGTTTTCTGGTGACAATAAGAATAACAATAATAAAAATAGTAGAAAATATTGAGAAGAAGAGAACGAAGAAGAAGAAGAAGTTGGGGATGATAATCGAGGATGAGTTCTGCGGCCCCCAATGGTAAAGAAGAAGACGAAGAAGAAGAAGAAGAAGTGGTAGCTAGAATAATCATCTGCCATTTTTATTAAGTCGCCCAAAAATCTTTTTATAAATTCACCGAAGAAGCCCCTTTACGGCCCCGCCTGTAATTTGGGCTTTTTTCCGGATTCGGTATCGGTGACCCGACTCAGTATTCCTCCCGAGTTAACTCGCTCCTTCTCCCCATCTTCCCCTTCTGTCTCCCCCTCACAAAGTTTCGATTGCCCTTTTGCCTCCCTTTCTCTCTCTCTCTCTCCCCTTTTTTTTATTTTTCTTTTTCTTTTTCTTTTTTTTTTTTTTTTGTGTCTGCAACATTAAAGTTAGCGTCTTTGACTCCTCCACTTAGGGCCCATTGGGCTTCCGTTGGCTTAGGCCGTGCAAAAAGGATTTCTCCCCCCGATTAGAATTGACATCTATAGAAGAGCCTATATTTGGGCCTAAATCATTGATTCAGCCACAAAATTTGAGAAAACTATATATATATATATATATATATATATATATATACTAGTGATGTCTGGTCGCGCAATGCGCGACCCTGGCCCAGTCTATCTGTAGATCTTAGAAATATTTATATTTGAAAAAAATAAAATTTTGTATTTGTAGCGATATATTTTAGAAATATTTGAAGGATTTAGAAATGTTTTATAAGTGTGATCATAGAAATATTTGTATTTCACACACAAAAAAAAAAAAAGAAATTGTATTTCGCCATGTATGTTTTAGAAATCTTTTATAAGTGTTACTTATTAAATATAAATAGCCTTAATCGAATAAATGTGTTGAAGTAAATGTTAGATAAAATATAAAAGCATCCTAATAAATTTAAATATTAGTAAGATGATTTATTAATGTTCTCCATTGGTCGTGCCAAATCAATACTTAGTTTTGGAGATTTTTAATAGTTTTGTAATAAACTTCATCCGAAGGGTATACGCTTAAAACAAAGTTGACACTTTGTAACAAAACCTAATTGATCAATTCAATTTAAAAAACCACTCTAGTTGAATGAAACATAAAGAAAAATAAAATAAAAAAAACGTGTCACGTAAAGTGCAAAGGGAAATTTAGTACTTTCTACATGCCACGTGGCAATCATATGAGGTGTTTGAAAGGGAGGTTTTTGTTTCTAATATAGTAGGATATATTAAAGCATGAAAAATTGGCGTTCATACCCAAAGATTTGGACCGATCGTCAATTCTACCTTATTAATTTTCAGTTAACTAATTTTGTCTTTACTATTTGAAATTTTTGTCAATTTCGTCCAATTGGCCCAATTTTCTTTAAACTTAACGGATTTTCATTAGTTTTTAACCAAAAATACCCAATAGTTTTGGAAAATTTTACAAATAACCATAAACATATATAAAATAACAAAATAGTCCCTTTTTATTCATTTTTTTTTCTATTTCATTTTATTTCTCTTTATTACTTTTCATAACCATCAAAATATACTATATGATTTTTAAGAAAATAATTATTTATTTTTAAAATCTATTTTTCATGTGCAACACATGTGATTTGGGTTGAGGGGTAATTTTTTCATGTTAAATTTTAAAAATTTTTAATTTCTTTTTTTTTAATCGTCTTTTTTTTGAGATTCTTTTTCTTATATTTCTTGACTTGCATATATTGATACTAGAATAATTATTAAATTTTAATAATTAATATACTGTTTTATTTCATAGATTATAAAAACTTTAACATAAAGAAAATGAGGAAGAAAAACTTAAGTTGAAATAAACATGGAAATTAATAGTTTATCATTCTAAACAAAAAGCAAAAAAAAAACTTTAAAAAAACTTCAGACAAGTCTTTTCTCCTTAACTTCCTCTATTTCATAGGTAAGTTACGAAACATAAATTTTACTTGATCTAGCATAAAATGATTATTTTGTTCTTTGTAATAAAAATAATACAAGTCAGGTAGTATAATTTAGTAATTATTTTGCTAAACAATACACGTATTTATATTTTTGATAAAATTCAATAATTGCTTATGTAGTTTAGCAACCGCCAATCGGCCAAAAAAAATTATTAAAAAAGAATAAAAAAATAGTGTTAACCAAATTTACAGAAATGTATCGTTGTGACTAATTAAATTAGCATCTTCTCATGTTTCAAATGATTATCTAATTTTTCATATTATATTTATCACAACGAATAAATAATTATTTTAGGCTAGATCATGTAAAATTTATGTTTTGTAACTCACCTATGAACTAGAGAAAGTCAAGGAGGAAAGGCTTGTATTTGCAGTTTTTTTTTTAGATTTTTTTTAACTTTTGCTTAGTGATAAACTATTAATTTTCATGTTTATTTCAACTTGATTTTTTCTTCCTTATTTTCGTTTTATATTAATTTTTTTATAATCTATGAAATAAAAAGGAAAATTAATTATTGAAATTTAATAATTATACTAGTATCAATATATATAAGTCATGAAATATAAGAAAAATAATCTCAAAAATAACGAATAAAAAAAGTAAAATAAAAAATTTTAAAAATATAAAATAACAAAATTACCCCTCAACTCAAATCACATGTGTTGCACAGGAAAAATAGATTTTGAAAATAAATATTTATTTCTTAAAAGATCATATAGTATATTTTGATGGTTATGAAAAGTAATAAAGAGAAATAAAATGAAATAGAAAAAAATGAATAAAAAGGGACTATTTTGTTATTTTTATATATTTTTAAGGTTATTTTTATAATTTTTTAAAATTATTGGGGTTTTTTTTGTTAAAAACTAGCGGACATCCGTTAAGTTTAATGGAAATTGGGTCAATTAGGCAGAATTGACAAAAAATTTAAACAGTAAGGACAAAATTGGCTAACCGGAAATCAATATGATAGAATTAAGAATGAGCCCTAAGATTTGGGTATGAACGCCAATTTTTCCTATTAAAACACAACCATAAACAATACACATTATGATTTTATTATAAAAAAATAAATTTTTGCAATAATCTTTTAAAATATGAATTAGCATTAATATCAAAGTTTCTACTTAAATCTCTACTGAAAAGAAAATATTACTAGTAAACTAAATAAATAAAGGTAAAGAAAAGTTTTAGTCCTCGTTTTGCTTAAAAAAAAATTTTTTAAAAAAAATTGAGTTGGAGGTGGAGAAACTGTGTAAATAGAAATTCAAATTTCAGACGCACAAATTTTGGCCGCGCCCCAATTTTGGACACCCTTTTGATTTTATTTTTAATAATTAATAAATTTTGAGATTAAAAGATAAAATAGAGTAGTTACATGGGGTGAGTGGAAGTGATAGCTTCATGGCGGAGGTGAGTGGTTTGCTTTTTGGCATTCAGAAATGCGACTCTTTGGATTTAATTAAAGTTGAGATTTAAATAGATAGCTTGCCACTTGCTAATATGCTCGATAATGACGGCTATTTCCCATGGAAAATGTATTTTGAGCTACTAGAGATTCATCATATCATTCAAAGAAAAAGTTACAAGGTTGTACATGTATTTAGGAGACAAATTCAGTTGCTGACAGCCTTGCAAAGCTTGCCTCATCAGGCAACTCGCAGAGTTTTCCTGGTTTTGATAGTCTTTCTCCTAAGATACGAGACCAAGTAATTTTGGATCAACAATCTTTTCTGTATATTAGAGCTCGCAGAGCCTCTTTGTAGTGAGATGGATTGATTGGCCTTGTAATAAATAGTCTTTGAGTTTTCCTTCTTTTCAAATATGTGCTCATGTAACGTGGTAAGTATTAAACACTGCCATTCTCTCTGCTTATTATCAATAAATTAGAGATATGAGGATTAGGAGTCAATTGATTTCAGTATTCATCTTAGATGTATATTCTCTTTGTATGTGCCTTTTTCCTCCTAATTTATCAGCTTCTCTTCATTTCTGTTTTTTTTTTTAATTAAAAAAAGAGTAGTTACATGGAATTATCATTATTTGGTACAACGTATCTAATTATTTGGTAAAATGAATCACTTACCTAATATTTATTATAAACATGGTGATGGTTCCATTCTCTTTACCACAACAAGAACGTTTCCTAAGGGGAATAGAGATAATTGTAATTTGATTCCGAATTATTACTGTGTTCTATAAAAATAAAAAGTAAAGGA